ATTATTTTGACGCAATAGATTCGTGATCAACTGAGTAAAAACTGTTACCCACCAAACTTTCTAATAAAACGGAACTTAAAGTAAAATCACTGACAACACTGGAGAAAATGTTATTACAGTTCAAATATGATATGATCAACGAAATAGTGATATAAAATATAGGAAAAGCTATAGAACGGACAGTTAACGCAGTTAAATGATGTCTTTTCTTATTTAATCAGTCGATAGAGTTCACAAACTAAAGATAAACTTCCTAGTTCTACCGCCTTTATGTGCATTTTTCACTTCGACTGTTATATTGGTTAAATCGGATGCATAACCAGGTATATCCTCATTTCTGCAGCAATTTGGAAGGCTCTCCCATTCTCCCACATTGAACGAGCATTCCGTATACCTAAATAAATGGTTGCTCTGGTTGTCACAAGGGGCATCGACCTCGTGACTTCTGAAGGAACTCTACTTTCACCATGAGGCGTCATAACTCTTCTAAATGAAGACCTTCTAACTGACGGGGCGGAGTTTAAACGGTTTGAAGAATTTTCTATGGTTAGCGTTTTTAGCGAGTTAGTTTCCTACGGAATGTAGTCGCTAACCCCATCCCTACCCCTCCTCCTCTATTCGGGCTTGGGACCGGCGGTAGCCCCCGGAGTGACTCCAGGCGGAGTTACAACCAGGTATATACATCACTATATTTCTAAGCATTACCTCTCTTGGTTGATTAAACGAGAAAATAATACAATAAGAATCTCTCTTTTGTTACATTTAATAGTTATCGGTCACCACATAAATTATGAATTTAGCTTCCAAAGTTATTTTTAGAATCTTATCAAACTTGTAGCATTTTGCCAAACCTCTTCTTTTCGTTTTTACATAAAAATCTGATTTTCTAATTTCCTTTGCACCATTTCATACTAATCATATACTATTAGCTTTAGAAATAACAGTAAACATTTATAGTCGTTTGTTTAATTTCAAAATTATTTAATTCTCATTCTTAATCATTGGTACAATGTCATCTTTTTTTCTAATTTTACATCTGTTAAGCTTGTAACCGATTACTGTTTTACGGAAGACATTGTAAAATTGGCTGACCATGGCTTATTTAATATGTATATTTCGTTCTTAACTGTAAAAATATTAATTAGAATAAAGCCTTAATGAGGGACTCCTCAGTAGTGCGCATCCATAATCCCTCACACGAGGTTCGAACCCAGGGCCTTCAGTTTGACTTGCGAACGCTTAAGCTCTAGACCATTGAGCCGGCATCCAACGGTGTTAGTGTTTAACTTCGATCGATCCACGATATAACGTGACTATTCACCGTCTAGCTTTATTCGACTCATGAATTCAAATGTTATTGTTATTATTATTCATATATCTTTGTATTACTATCACTAAAGATCAGTTATAACACAAAGAATCTAACTAACACTTAATTCACCTTATTATTTTTTACTTAGCTCATATTAACTTATTCATTCCATAGTCTTTGACTGATTTGTGATTACTTTATTATTTCTCACTCAGTTTATCTTCATTTATTCTAACTATTAATTGTACAATTTCGATTGACATCTCAATTTATCTAATTTAACATTACATTACTAAAGATTTCAAAATAGGAAATTCTATTTTATTTTACAAATTATTTCTAAATCCGTATACTGTAATTTTCAAAGGGTCTATTTGCCTTCAACTTGGCTATTACATAACAAACCCTTATTTGTATTAATCACTGTAAAATTTGTTGGTGAAGTATTGTACAGTGTATTCTTCGTTTAGTTTGTCTTAATGTTTGTTTGTTTTTTTTTAAAAAAAAGTAGGAATTTTTGTAAAGATTTATCTTTATTGCAATTAATTTGCTTCATTATTGGTATACAACTAAAGAATGTTTAAAGTTTTATGACAAAAATTCAATGAAAAAACCACGTTACACCTGTACCTCTTCTAGAGTTACTGCCGGTCCCATGCCCGGGTAAAGGAGGAGGGTTGTGCATGGGGTTTGCGACCCAATCCCGTAGAAAACTAACTCGCTAAAAAAGCGCTAACCAAAAAAGTAATTCTGGTGAGTGGCTTGTGCTCCTTCACGAGGAGTAAAAGGCGTAAATAAGCTGTATGGGTTAATTCATGTAAATCGAAATTGATTGGTGTAGAATGTGACCCGGAAGCTTATATTTTTCTTGATAAGCTGTCAGCAAGTAAAGTTTTTTTCTAATCTTAAACTTTACATATGTCAGTCATATTGTAAAGTAATTATTGACTTTCTAACAAGCTTTTTTTCCTGTTCATTATTCTTTAGATGATAGTCGCAACAAAGTGTTCATTTCGCGGTAGGTCATAAGACTTGATTAGGTTATGGAGCTAAAATCAAATAGCTTGAATTAATTTGAAAACCTACACTAAATATATCTCAATAACAAACTATGAGATCAAATATTTTGATAGTCAATAATTAAATATATTGATTATGGGAGATTTATGAAGATTTTGTGAAGTTCATAATTAACATTATGGACTGATTTTGACTAAACAAAGATCTAACACTTTCTAATATTTAATGTAGCTTTAACCAAGATTAATCTTTGATGTTCACCATGAAATGAAATATCAAACTGTAGGCATGGTTATCAATTACAATAAATAGATTTACGTCAAATATGATCTTTTAAGAAGCTTGGAAATGTTTGCTGATGATGTCGTTCAGAATAAGGATGAAAGCTCCACGACCAAACCATTCAGCTCAGAGAACAAAACTCCATCAAAACCATCCATCTGAGTTACAAATCTTTTCCATTATCTCAAAGTTCTGAACGCATAGCATTTCGATTTTTATTGTTTAACCCTAAAGAATTTGTAAAACTCTCATTTCATTTGCGGTATATTTCTGTGTCTGTAATTTTTTATCGATGTTAAATGATGGATTTGATGTTATGGTTAGTTATTGTTTCATGAAAAAACAAACCGACAGAGTACTACGCTCTAGTTTGTAAACATAATATCAAAATGATAAAAAATATATTCTTAAGTAATTCTTATTTTCTGTACTATTGTGAGCAATCAAAACTTGAGCCTTCATTAATTTTCCGGCATATAGTTATAGAATATCTCGGTAAAATATGAGGTCCATACACTGATTATTTCATTTGCAAATTTCCATCGTTTTCTCTCACTATCTGTATGATTCTTCTAGTTTACACTTTAAAAAATTTCTTTTTCGATTCTCTTCACCTTGATCTTCTTAGACTTTTACTGTCAGGTTTTCTATCCCAGACCGATGAGACATACTACTTATGTCTGTCAACATAAATTGCGTACAACACAGTATTAGTAGTATTAATAGTATTGCTAAAATTGGTAGTAGTGATAGTAGTGGTAGTAGCAATTTTAGCAATTCCATGAAATTTATGCCTGTAATTCAAGTAACCTAACTTCAAGGATGCATTTTCGATTCGTTTAGATTCTAGTAATTTGTACTTGTTTATAAAGAATTCTTCATTTGATTTGCTTAAAAGACTTGTAAATAAAACAAAGTACAAAAATTGCCTTACAAGATATTTGTATATTTACAATTCTAATATCTAATTTAGGAGAATAAAATTGGTCAAGTGTACATTTTCAGAAGCTGTTTAATATGAATCGACTAGTAAACAATTTAATAAGTAAAGACTGAATATTTCTTAAATAATGATGTATGTTTGATAGCTGATTAGAATCGATTCAATGGTATGTAGAGAATAACATTAAACTAGTTGTACTGTGAAACAATATTTTCTATCTCCATTATGTACTCCTCAAACCTGTCTCCCAATAGTATTGATAAGTTTATAAATTGTACAGTTGGTTATTATTATTAATACAGAATTCAAGAGGTTGTCGAGTGATTACCACTTTCATAACTTTGATAATCACTCTATCATTGTAATGAATAAGAACACGAATAGGGACAATGGAATGTATTTGACACGAGATTACAGAGCATCTCAATAAAATTTGAGAACCATATATTGAATAAATAAGAACTTTCGTCTAAATTTGATTGAATAGTTTCATAGTATTTGGGAGCCGAGTTAATGTGAGTCATTAAAGAGGAATAATGTATTTGTAAAGTCTCATTGAATGAATTTGGAAGTATATCCAACGTTTCTGGTTCAAGCTTTTTCAAGGAAATAAATAATAAATAGTTAATTTGCAAAATGTCAATTCATCGTCTGAAACTTCACTGTTCCTTTTGCAAATATCAGTCCATTGTCTCAGATTTCATTTTTCATGCGTTTTCATATTAATTGCGTTCCGTTCCCGTTCTTTCCTCATCGACCTTCTACTGAAATACATTCTATGACTGACCACCGTTTTATACTACTTGTGTGGATATAAGTAACTCACACCACATCATTAACCAAACTATAACTCATAACGTTTCTAAAGAAAATTACATTCATATGCGATAAAACATGCAGAAGATACATTTAAAGTAGTCCAAGAAAGATTATTTTCATCTACATAAAAAATTTGACTTGAACAGAATAAAAAATGATAATAACAGTAAGATTTGTGATGGAAGTATTTCAATGTCATTGTTCATAAAATGTCATTTTGAAATTGAATCTAATGTTATCATTTGAAAGTTATGGTCAATTACCGAATAGTAATCTTTTCATCCATACACTTATGTGTATACATATTAAGTAGTGAATGAAAGATTTCTTCCTAGAATGAATTGATTCATATTTGATATATCAATATAATGGTTCTTATCTATGCATACTGCTATTCATTTACATGTTCTAACCCTTCCATACATGAATTTATAGTAAACAGTGATAATATGAAAGAGGAAGAATGTATTGGTAACATCTCAACGAAAGAATTTGGAAGTAAATCCAATGTTTCGTCAAACAACATGGTCCAAGCTGTTTCAAGGAAAACAGTGATAATGATTGAAGTATAATTAAGCAGATTTTTTTTAGAAACTTTTATTTATATTTATTAATTTGAATAAATTAGAATGAATTCATTTGTGATATTGTAGATGAGATAACTGATTCATTATGATCATCTAACATAGCCGAAGATGTATTATGAATGAATGGAAATGTTGAAAATAGATTAGGTTTATTTTGTTTAGTTTGAATGAATTGATCTTCAATTAATGAATGATTTTCATCACTACTAACTGATGAAGTTGAAAGATTTAAAGGATGAGAAATTATTGTCCATTTATTCATATCACAATTCTTATCAGTAATACTATCAGTAGAAAATTGTGTATGATTCTGATATTTCGAATTAGTGGTTTCATAAGAACTATCTAAAGTAACAACCTCATTTTTAGGCTTTTTTGATATAACTTGCTCATTTGTAATATTAAGCATAGATTTACTAAGGTATATATTTGACTGATTAACCTCATTCTCTTTATGAATTACATTATGCTGGTTAGTTATTGTATTAGATTCTTTTACCCATGGTTTGTTTGATTTACAATTATTTTGATTGTTTTTATTAGATAATACAGATGTTATTGTGGTTGAATTCAATGATGTCCTTATTCGTTTACGTAGTTCATTAGAAACATTTCTATTCTGTGAAACTTTTGATTGAAATTTTGTTATATCTACATTGGGAGATTCATTTCCATATCGTGTTGCACAATATAATTGTGTAACTTTTAAAAGAGTTTCTCTTAAATAAGGATCTTTACCTATAATAATAAAAATAAAGACTGAAAAGTTTTTTTAAAAAAAGTAAAACACTCAAATAAAACTTGATCTTGAGATGGTGAAGAAGATTTGTAGATCAGGTTAATTAATTTTGATGAAGTTTTGTTTTCTGAACTGGATGGTTCGCTTGTAAAACTTTCATCTAACTGAAGTTTATGCTGATGATGTCGTTCATAAAAACGATGAAAGCTCCACGACCTAACAATACAGCTTAGAGAACAAAACTTCATCAAAAACTTGGTCATTTGAAATAATGAAATAGTGATTAATCAAATAAATATATTGTCTTTATTTAGTTATTACTTAGATGTTTAGTTCAGAGTATACGTTTTCCTTTTTTTACAGTACCTTCATCACAAAGTGTATTTAAAGACATTGAGTATTCATCTAAATACGATAACATTATTCTCGAGGTTATTCATCTTGAAAACTCCTGTGATGTGTGCTACTTATATTGACATAAGTAGTATATGATTACTTAAAGTCAACCTCTTGATAGCAAAATAAAAATCCTTTGTTCGATGACGTATATCAATAATACATGAATACTAAATGCATATAGTCTCCAGAAGCTATTTATTTCAAATCCGAAATTTGATAATTACTTTTAAGAAATGGAAATTTTGCTTTGATATAACGTTTTCTGATTTATAAATAGACTCAAACCCTGTACTTATAATAATCAAGTAATTGCAGTTGCCAGATCTAAAGATCCTAGGTTCGAACTTTGATGGGATCATGGGTAAACGCTGCTGAGGTGTTCCGTATCCTGATGAAAAAGCCATGTAGAGGTTCTACAAATGAAATCAATCTGTGACGAATATAACCTACAAATGCTATTATAATCTTGACAAAGACAAGAATAGAAAACTAACATTTCATTTTTGAAGAAGTATTTCTTAACCAAAATCGATGCATATAAGCTGCATATGTTACGGAAAAAAGGGAAATGAAACCATAGAATTCATTTTGACAACATAAACTACTCTGAAATTGAAATTATTACTGATTAAACAATTAATTCGTTTGTTTAAATTGAATAAAATACTGATATAATAGAATTCAATCTACAAATTTATTCATTTCAATTAAAATTTAAAAAAAACAGCCATAATTTAATCCTACTACTTTCTTAAAATAGGCCACATTCCTGCAATTAAAAAACATATGGAACTCAAAACAATTGTTAACCAATATCAAAGTCAGAATCTTCAATACAAAAGTCAAGATATTCCTACTGCACTGAGCTGAAACGTGGAGAACTACTACAACCATAATCAAAAATGTACAAGTATTCATAATTAGCTGTCTACTCAAGATACTTATTATTTGTTGCACGGATATCATCAGCAACATCATTCCATGGGAGAGGATAAACCAGCTTCCAACTGAAGAGGTAATTATGAAAAGACGTTGAAAGTGGTTAGGACACATATTGAGGAAATCATCAAACTACATCACTAGGCAATTCATAACTTGGAATCCTGAAGCGAAACGTAAAAGAGGAAGGCCAAAGAACACACAGCTATGGAAAGGATGAATAACAACTGGAAAAAACTGGAAACGATTGCCCAGGACAGAGTTTGATGGAGAGTAGGTAACAGGCGTAATTAAGTAACCAAGTTTCTGAAAAATTAATGATTACTGATGTATACAGCTCACAAGTTTTTAAACATAATTGTGAAATGACAAGATATATCTCTATATCTATATATCCTAGACATCTAATTTATAACCCTCTTTTCATTTCCTCAATCAAATTAACAAACAAACAGATGGTTTATCAATTCAACATGATAATTTCTAACTAATTAAATAGTATGTTTATTACACTTAGTTGATCTATTCACTATTTATATATTGTATTATTGTTAAAATGACACAAGAATGTATTTTATTATTAATTTCATAATAACCAATTACTTTTGATGGAGTTTTGTTCTCTGAGGTCAGAGAACAAAACTCCATCAAAATCATCCACCTTAGCTACAAATCTTCTTCGCCATCTCAAAACCGATTACCTATTTTGGCTGAAATGTAATCACGTGATTTATAGACTATTATTATTATTGTTATTATTATTATTATTAAGAGGATAGTAAATATCCAGATGGTAATATACAACAAAAGTAGCATTCTTATTTGAATGAATCTTTTAATTGTAATAATCATTCCTTCATAAACGATTTTGTCTTTGACAAATTTAATTATTCAACATGATCATTTTGACATTGTTCTCTTTGTTTATAATGAAATTTCATTATTTTTTTTCTTGTTTTAATTTATTACATAAAAGTTTTAAAATATAAAAAAAACTTGAAAATTTATTTTGTGTTTTTAGTTTATAGTGTGGTATAACAGAAAAGATTTATTTAACAGACTAAAATGAGATTGATATCAGAAGGGGTTTTGTAGGATAAGATAGTAGTTTTTTTAGTAGTTGAGACCATGAGCCCATTGAAGTTAGACCACTGGGAAGTACTGGATGACCGTTTTGCTTCATTGTGGGACTCCTCAGAAGTGTGAGTCCACAATCCCGCCTCGTGAAATTCGAACACAGCACCTATCGGTCTCGTGAGCGTATGTTTAAACATCTAGACCATTGAGCTAGCATCCAATGATGTTAATGTCTAACTTCAACTAATCCATGAAATTGATTGACACATCTGCCATTGTCTTTGGTGAATTACTATCTCACAACAGACCTCGTTGAACTCCACTGGTCACTGCTTCCCACTAGAAATCTTGAAGTCAGTCATTAGTGAGCATTTGTTGATTAGTATCAGAATGGTTTTCCAAGTTTTCCATGGTAGTTTAGCTTTAATTGACTCATGATCTCAACTATTAAAATGAAATTATCTCAACAAAAAAAACAAAGTTAGAAGGTTCTAGATCATAGATATTTTGCAGTAGTTGATATATTCTTAACCAGCTTGGATTGTGGCTAGCAGTGGTAACCAGGACATATAATTAGTCTTAGTTGGGACTCAGCAGCTGGATCACTCTTAAGTATTAGTGTTGATGTCCACACTGAAATTTAAAACCACCATCAACTGCTTCAGACGTCAAGCAATATTCACCAAACTATTTAGTTCATATAGTTAATAACTTTTTAGACATATACACGGGTAATTTATTTTGTTTCATCTCAGTTTATAATTCAACTTTGATTCATATTTGGTACATCACTTAATCAAAAAGCATATCGGCATTGGAAACTTTACACAATGTCTGACAGGAAAATTACAAACAATCACTATAGATTTTACAACTAATAATGAATTATTATTGGCTTTAGTCAATATTATATTTCTGGTACAATACAAAATTCTTAGCACGAAGTATTTCAACAAGTTTCCACTTCTTATTTCTTGACCGATCCTGACAATCATTATTGAGTGGTCGCCAGTCAGGTGTTAGAAGTTCGGGAATTGACATCTGTTAAATGTATATTATTTTCGATGCATATTGCTAGCAACCAAGATATCTGTGATAGTGGTTTTTTTAACTTTTACAGAGAAATGTAAACTTTTCATAAACACAACTGAATAAGTAATGCGATTAAATGGCGTAATGATGTGTTAAAACAAACAAGAAAACAGATAACTTGTTGAAATATCCAGATGTCAGGAACAGGTATCCCAGATATTCAAACTGGCGGCCTTATAAATCATCTGTTAAAATACTAACTTGAAATCATTTTGAATGATTGTAACCATTAATAAAATTGTCATTTTCAATTGTGGCTTCCGATTCATCATAAATAGTGTGAGTTATCTAGTCATAAAAATTGATTGCAATGAACTACTAAGATCCATTGTTTGACAATTTGAAATTATATTTCTAACGAACGAATACGGTTGCGGATAGCATAAAATCTAGCAAAGCAGTTCGTATATTGGTTTTCTCAAAGATAACTTGCTTTATTTACATGATTTTTGCCCACCTCTAAGTAATCAGTCCAAATTATTGCCAGTTACAAGCGATGTATAAGAGATGTCAGTTCATATTCTAATGTTTTGTCTAGTATAAACTGAAAAACTAATAAAATACTAAACGTTTTCAAAGCATAGTACAATGTTCTATGTGTGTAGATAACAAAATAACAGGACGTATTTAATTATTTCTGAACTAGTCACCTATGTACCAGTGATACTACACATTCATAAATGCACTGTAAAGATTTTTGAAAACAATTATTGAAAAGAGGTAAATCGGTTTATTGAAAATTCGTTGTTATCTAGAATAAAGTGTCCTTCAGTTCATGTATCATGCTTGTTACTAGAAGTTATCAAAAACCATGACCCAGTTAAGATACATCTTGTTTAGTTTCCAGAAATATTACTATTAGGCTCTATGCTTCACTATAGCTAACTGATTTGTGAAACTGAATCCCAAATTCAGAAAACTATATTAAGTTCTTTACTCTTCCCAGCCATAAGTATTACATCAGTATAGAGTTGTGGAGATTGTGAAGTTTTTTTTTAAAATCAAGAATCGATCAATGTTAGACCACCGTTAAAAACCTGAAAGCACTGAACGGCTATTTCATCCTAGTATGGGACTCCACAGAAGTGCGCATCCACTATCCCTCACACGGGACTCGAACCCAGGACTTTCTATCTCACGCGCAAACGTTTAGTCTCTAAATCACTGAGTCGGTATCAAACGGTTTTAATTTCTGACTTCAATTAATAAGTAATATAAACCTATGACAATAAAGTTATTCTTATTTGATAAAAGTACGTAATAAAGCTAAGATTAGACTTAATTCATTAACTTGAAAATATTGTATTTGGTTTTCTAATAAATTATAATATAAACTTAATCTAACAATTAAAAAAGGAATGTATGTTATTACATTTCAAAAGGAAGTCATAAAAATATCTAGACAATTTCTATACAAATTGACTATAGAACGACACACACACACACACTTTTCTTCATCTAATAACGTAATTTTCCGATTGACTGTATTCAGTAATGTCAAGTATACTTGGTTGGATTTATAATAGATTTTTTTTATCTTTGTAGGTGATTATAAAAAGTGGGTACTAACTTTAATCAGTTATAAGTAGTATATATATATATTTATATATTCATACTGAATTAACGGATAAATTTTTAAAAAATTTTCAAGAAAAATCGCGGGTTTTTAGTTTTGTTTTTAAAAATCACCATTTTATTACATCTGTTAAAGGAAACAACAATGGTTGAAAGTAATTAAAATATTATTATTATTATTATTGGTAGTAGTAGTAGTATAATATAATTTGTGAATAATTAAGATAAATAGGTGGACTTGCTAAAATATTAAATAAAATAGAAGTATGAAATGACTGAAGAAGTACAATTATTTGTTACTATGTTAGTTATGAATTGTTTATATTTAGTTTGGTTTAATGTTATGTAGTTTAACATTGTCTTGAAGATAATGTCTTGAACTTACAAGTTAGACATTAGGTTACTTTTGAAGAATAAATATGATAATTAATCATTACTCATGAACTTTAATATATAGGTTGTGTATGCTACTTATATTTGCTAATATAAGTAGTATGTAATACCAGTCGGAAGTAGAATATCTGCGAGCAGAAGGTTGAAAAGATTAAAGAAGAGAAAAAGAAACAGAAAGTAATCAAGATCACAACAGGAATGAGGGAACAGTGAAGTTTGTAACAGACACTTAAAAAAATGTGCAGATAATGTTTTTGAAATGTAATTTTCAGATTTCAGTAAACTGTTGTGTGATTTTGCCCGAAACAATTGTTTAGTTTAGCTTACTTAAATGTTCGTTCACTATGTATATTTAACACATATTTGTGATTTACATACATAGTTATCAGATCATAACAAGAAATGTTTGGTTCCTTCAATGTTACGGATTTGTGTTCATAACAAATCTGTGAAACTTAATTAATTTGATGATTAATATTTTGTTTAATTAATGACTTCATTTTGCTAAGGTATACTATGTATACTTTCAGATATTATTTGAATACGATACACTACCAGATATTATCATTTTAACTGGTACCCTTGGTCTGATTATCTCTTTATCTTCAATAACAAAATAATGTTCATAATTCAATTCATAAGATTACTAACTTACGAATAAAATTAAGGATATTGTCATTAAATGTTTATATTATCGTGTCATTGAAATTCAGGACTGGATGTTGATCAGTCTTAGTTAGCCAATGTGAATCCTAAGCAAATTACACCATTGTTGTAATTCTGCAAGTTTTAAAAAACTGGAAGTTGAACCCATAACATGCATTTTGTTCCATCAGTGACTGTCCAGCTGAATGTATGTAAATTGTATTGAGGATATTCACATTCGGATCAGACCTCAGTACCTTCCAAAACCAACTTTTTTCTATAATAAACTGAATAGGCAATAAGTACTGAGTCCATAACTTATATTGTGATTTGGCTTCGATTTAACAACATTATACCCATATTTTATAAAATCCATGTAAACCTCAACAGTTATTTTTCTTATCTCAGATGATAAAAGCAGCATACTTTCTACGTTACTGTTATTGCATCACTCAAAACTTCAAAGTTAATTTTGATAGCGTAATAAGAAGGTGAAGATTATCAGAACTATGTGATATATTAGCCCAATACGTTTCGAATAGCCTGACTATAAATATATTAGGAACATTTATATACAAAAGCGGCAATATTAGTCTATTGTCCGGAGTGACGAGTTTTACATAGTTTTCCCATAATTTTCTTCATCATTTTTGTTTCCTTTTTCCCTCCATTTCGCTATGATCAGATTGTTCGGAATGTATTACGCTATTGTATCACATTAGGTCCGGTAATCTTTGTCTTATTATTTTATTCAAATGTATCAAAGGGATTAATTGTTTCAAAATGAATAAACAAGTTTAGTTACCTGCAACAGTTGGTAGCATTAGAGCTTGACGTTTCTCTTTCATTCGCCGGTTTTGAAACCAAACCTGAATACAAATTAATTACAATTAATTAATTTCTGTATGACATGATACGTATATCTAATGCTTACAGTAATTGTCAACTGACTGAATAACTACATATGTAACTACATATATAATTTAACTAAGCATATACTGTAACGTTTGTAAATCTGGCGGCGAAATTCTAAAACCTCAGTAAGATTTCATTAGACTAGTGTACATACAGTGCGATACAAAAACTATTCATAAATGCTAAAACAAAAGAGGTGAATGAATTTTAAAATTTAATTATTTATATTACACCGGATATCGAAATCTAAATAATGAAAGCGTTTGTTCTGTTTATATTTCACTATAAAGATTTGCTTAGAATGAATATGAATATGCGCAAGGTTGAGATGTGGTACTTTTTCACAAAATTACTTATTTACCTTGAATATATGGAAGTATTTTGTTATGAGCAAATTTTAGTCTACATAGATGTAAACCACTCATACCTTTATAAACTAAGAATCTTTTTGATTATTTACTCCTTATCGATATATTTTACTCGATGATCAGCAGACGAACATTTCTACAGATTGATGAACATAAATAATCCTGAATTATCAATGTTAATATACATGTACTCAACTTCGACTTAAATCTCAAGTAAAACCTTGGTTACATACCTTTGAATCATAAAGATGTTTCAAAACTTTTCATGAAACTGAAAAAATCAAAACACAAGACTTTTAATAGTTGAGATCATGAGTCAGTTGAAGCTAAACCGCTATGGAAAGCCAGGAAGTACTGGATGGCGATTTCGTTCTATTGTGGGACTCCTAAGAAGTGTGAGTCCACAATCCCGCCTCCCAAGATTCGAACCCAGCACCTATCGGTGTCGTGAGCGAGCGCTTAAAAATCTAGATCATTGAGCTGGCATACAACGATGTTAATATCTTACTTCAAGTAATCCAAGAAATTGAGTGACACATCTACCTTTGTCTTTGGTGAGTTACCATATCCCAACAGACCCGGTTGAACTCCATTGGTCATTGTTTTTCGCTAGAACTCCAGGAAATACCTCTTGAAACCCCTTCTGATATAAGTCTTTTAGTTTAACAATGAAAATTAATGACCAATTTCACATTTTTTATGTTTCTACACTAAAAAATAATCAGAAGGGTTTTGTAGAGATTTTAGTAATTTCAGTAGTTGAAACCATGAGTCTATTGAAGCTAGATCACCATGGAAAACCTGGAAGCACAGGACGGCCGTTTCATCTTAATGTGGAACTTCTCAGCAATGCGCATCGACGATCCCGCACCCTGCGAAATTCGAACTAACGAGCTAACAGTCTGGCGCGCGAGCACTAAACCACTAGACCACTGACATGGCATTTAACGGTGTTAATGCCTAACTTCAACTAATTCACGAAATTGCACAACCGTACACCATTGTTTTTAGTGAGCTGATATCTCACAACAGACCTGGTTGTACTCCACTAGGATGAAACGGCCATCCAGTGCTTTCAAGTTTTGCATGGTAGTCTAGCTTCAATTGACTCATGATTTCATCTATTAAGAATTAATCGTCTACATATCGGATTCAAAAGAATCATACCTCAAAGAAATAATTTATTTCCACTTTATTTTTGTTATTGTATTCATTCAATACATTTATTAAAAAAGTCTTATATTTGATATTACTAATATAAATACATAATAACACATATGTTCAACGCATTATCCTTATTACTTACTTTAATTTTATTCTCTGGTAAATCTAATTCAACTGATAATTTAGCTCTTTGTGGCCGATTAATATAACGATCTAATTGATAAGTTTTTTCTAATAATTCAATTTGTTTTTGTGTATAACTAGTACGATAACGTTTTAATTGTTCATTGATATCATCATTATGACTATTATTCATTGTTTTATTGAATTCAATGAATTTATGATTTTTTGGATTTGATAAACATAATTGATTTATAGATTTATTGATTAATTCTTTATTAGTTATTTTATCTTCGATCATAGTTGTTGATATGGATGATTTCATTTTGAGTTTGATTGTATTCTCATGATCATTTATTATTCTTTCATTAGATATATCATTATTATGATATAAGATTTGTGTATTTGTATTATCCTTTTTAGTGACTATGCTATCATTAATGTTCCCTGTTTCTAATTTTATTGATGAATTATCTAACATTGATCTAGAATGATAATGATTTGATTGCCTGTTATTATTAATATGTAATGGATATTGATTATTTTTAAGTAATAGAGAATTATGTTGATATGTTAAATGATTATTTTTCTGTATAGAATAATATGGAGGAATGAATGAATTTTTAAAAATATTGCCAAAATTTTCAAGTTTCAATGAAAACTCTTCAATGTTATCATTAGGATCTTTGCTTTCATTATTACTATTGTGATGATGATGATGATGATCATTATTTGGATTTATTGTTTGGGTATCATCAAAATCAATATGACAATTACTCGAATTATTGATCATAGAGTTTGAACATAAGGATATATTGTCTTTATAAACCTCTTGAGATAATGAATGATTGATCTCAGTTGATTGTAAATTATTGTTTTGTATAATATGAGAGTTATGTTTAAGTTTTGTTTTAAGTTCATTAAATAATGCAAATGTTGATGAATAAGGTAAAAATGATGGAAAATTTAAATTTACAATGTTATCTGGAAACATTTTAATTTGATTAGAAGGTAATGATGTATCTGTAAAAAAGAACACATAATTTATAAAATAAAACATTCTTAACATTAAGAAGATACAAGTATTTATAAATAGTTGCCTACGCAAGATACTCAACATCCATTGGCTGGATACCATCAGCAACAACCTTCTGTGGGAGAGAACCAACCAGCTTCCAGCTGAAGAGTAAATTAGGAAAAGACGATGGAAATGGATAAGACATACATTACGCAAATCATCAAACTGCATCATGAGGCAAGCCCTAAGTTGGAATCTTGAAGGCAAACGGAAAAGAGGAAGGCCAAAGAACACATCACGTCGAGAAATGGAAGCAGATATGAAAAGGATGAATAGGAACTGGAAGGAGCTGGAAAGGATTGCCCAGGACAGGGTCGGATGGAGAATGCTGGTGAGTGGCCTATGCTCCTTCACGAGAAGTAACAGGCGTAAGTGAAGTAGGTAGTAAGTAAAGTTATCATTCAAAATCTTGTAATTGATATTCAACATTAACAATCGGATAACCATTATAGAAACATTATATTTATACTTCATGCCTAACATCTAGATGGATCCATTTACTTTTATTCTACTGTATTCATATAGGTGATATTGATAGTTCACTTCGTCTTTTAGTTTATAACACAATGAACTATTGATAAATGTTTTCAAGCTATGAGTGTTGTAATTCGCAATAAAGAATCTATGAGGTCATCAACTGATTATGTAAAATAGGGAATTCTTGCTTTACAATAAAGTTTGTAAGTGTGGAAACGACTAATTTTTATTTTAAATCTCAAACGTATTTAGACAATACAATTATGTGATTAGTAATAAAATAAATTTGGGTAATTCAGGATGAGATAAATGCTAATACAACTAATATCTATATTAAATCACTGACTGAATATTAACGAATGCATGAAATAATATGAGCTAAGTAGGAATTAGCGAAAATAGGATCATTTCTGACTAAAATTTTACAAATGAATACGAACAGAATCAATTTCATTAAGTCAACATATAGAAAACAAAAAAAGGGAAACAAAAATACACACTAGGCATAAAAGACCGTAAAGTAATTGAGATTATTTACTCAACTGATAGTCCTAAACTCATACAATACTTGTCGGTTACAAATGTTTAAATTTTTTCAACCGTTGAGTCGGGTTTAAAATTGTGGAATCTGTTTTTCCTTTCAAAATTTAAAGTAGTTCTTATCATAAATTGACATTTTCTGGAGAACTACCGATAACCAAGTAGCACTTAGGATTTGTTTTCTCGTAGTTTCAACTCATCTGTAGGATTGAATACAGAGTTATCAAATCTCTTGCTGAGCATGATACTTTAAGATTATTGAACTGAAATTCCATGGTCTCTACTTTCAACTCCGATTAATTCGTAGTATACCTCAATTTTCGTCCATCATCATAACTGATTATTGTCCTAAATCGGGCATGTTTCAACTACATTAGTGACTAGTTCCTACTAAAAATCCTGTCACATACCAGTAAATTAGTCATTTATGAGGTTTCTATTCTTCGTTTACATATTTGTGTAAATAGTTCAATTAAAACTTATAATTATAACACTTCGAATATAAATTATCACTGTTACCTACTTGTGGTAAAAGATGCCATTTTAGGAAAATATGAATAGAATATATCGAAAAGATTTCAGGGAAAGTATAATAATTAATTAACTTTTTAATAGTCCAATATATATCTATATATGCTCTTCTCTTTCAGTCTGAATCAAAATCGCTTTAATTTGAGTTAAACAAGCATAATGAATTTTTTTTTAATTGAATGGGATATTTCTTCATTCATTAACATTTGATTGGTTGAATCAAAATCTTTTTTTATCACTTTTCTTTCCCTTTTTATAAATAAGTAATATAATAGGAAGGGGGAGGAAATGATTTTCAGTTGAGTATAATGATTTTTTTGGTATAAATCAAAAATAGTAATAATCTAGGGAGTTTTATTTTCAGGAGGGGGGATATTATATTAATTTATAAATGATATTCGTTTAGGATTGGTTAATTTTGAGATATTATAGAAAAATAGAATTGTTTCATTCTAGTTTAGGATTCATCAGTAGTGAGCAATGACAAAATAACAAAAGATGGAATCCAGGATGTTCTGATCTTACAAAGCTATTCACTAATGAATGTCAAACCAAGATCGTTGAGTAACGAGAGCCACATAAAAATAAGCAATAATTAACTTAATAAAACTTATTCTTCATTTGATGGAAATGATGATTAAAAGAATGTAATATGTATGATACGAATGGTTTTTTAATCGATTCGTTCGTTTATAAAGTAATGAAAATATTAGAGATGATTGTTTATGTTGGGACTATAGGAAGTTTAAAAACTATCAAATTCTGACCGGTTGATATGAAACATCCAAAACAATCGGGTTCAAAATTTTGGCTTTGATTGATCTTTTTAACACTTCATTCTAAAGTTAATTTTCATTAACTTTCATCTCATAGATAATTATGTAAAAGAGGACACTATATAATCTTAACATTGAAAATTAACTTCACGTGTTAGGATGGAGTAATCAATTGTATCAGAACTGGAATAATAGGCGCTTGTTGGATGGAACAAAGAACACTTAGATCCCTGATTCAAATAATAAATGTCTCAATGTGCTAGGTTTCAAGCTATCATGAGTTCACTTAATCTGAGAACGAGAACAAAAACTCAGTGACCAAAGAACAGTAAGCTAGCTATTTGATACGTCCCAGCCCCACTAACTAGAGGAAGAAGTCCAAGCTTGGAATGGGAAGTATATTCTGTAAACAACCAGAAATGAGCGATAACAACAAAACACAATTCAAAACATATATATACAGCACAAAACCGTCCTTGGGGAGAGTTACCAAATAGCACACTAAAAGACGCAACGGACCAATAGCATTTAAGATATTTCCCAGTGGGAAATACGGCATGAAGGTGACAAGAGCGCTTTGGAGCGAAAACAACGAAATTTAAATTTTCTAAATAAAATTACGAAATTTGTTCCTTTCCCAATTGAGTTCTTGGGATCTAATGTCCTCAACACAGTGTGTCATTGAAATATAAGCAACAATCTTTTTTAAATTTAAGAAATTCTTTAATTGATGAATCTATAAAATATTTGTCCCAAGACCTAAAGAGCCTCATTACAGTACTTGAAGTAACCTGACCTACATAACCATAGGAAGCCCTAGTTGATTAAAGTAATCCACCCTGATGAAAACTGTTTTCAAAGTTATAAGAAAGTTGTCGCCCGTTGACTTCATTTCTAATCCTAGTTTTGCAATATTTTATGCACTATACGATTTCAGAGATTCCTCTAGCGTTTGTAAATTATATTTATCAAAACCTTAGAACAATATTTATTCCATGTATACTTAACAATATTCAAAGTTATAGTAGGGCATTGTAGTGATTACCGAATTTAAAGTGAAGATCACCAACGTAGATGATCTATGTCGAAATGATTGGAGGCCTACTCGAGTTAGACGTGAATGGTGTGACAAACTAGCTAAAGTCGAAGTCACACCTCGTGGTCAGCACCTTACGTGGACTACCCCATTGGCATATCAAGGTGCTATAGATGCATTGAAGACTGTACAACACAGAGGACTTTATTACAGGAATACATTAGTTAAAGTAGATACAAGCGATAGTAAGATCACTACCGCATAGGCCAGTCCATGGCATACGATTAACTGATGCGCGTCGGTTGTCCTTGACCTTGACGAGGATCGATGATTTGTTCGATGTTCAATGACCCAACTGCCGGATGATTTGGTTAGGGCTTAGTGACATTTCGCTAGCCCTATAAAAGATTCAAAACACAGACTGACTTTTGCTTAAAAACCCGAAAGCAGTTGACAGCTGCTTTGTTCTGATCTGACGGTACTAGTGAGAAGCCATGAACAGTATAGATCAACCAGGTAGAATGTAAGACAAATATAATCAACGGCAACCAATCGAAGTCGTGCAAAATCACGAACTAACTAAAGCAGTAAATGTAAGACCCTGGATCTAAATTGAGTTGCTTGAAGGTTAAGAGCCAGTTGCTAAGGTTGAATGTCCTGTATTCTATCACTGATAAAGTTGTGCTTGAGAATTGCTAATGAGTCATGTGTAATCAAAGCCAACCAGCGTTGTAATGCTCCAATATGAAAAATAATTCAAATATTCTACGAACAAAACAGTTTTATCCATTAGATGTTTAAATTATTTGTTGGTAGCAGATAACTAATATTGAATCAGGACACCCTCAAATATATGGAACCCTTCAGTAATTTTTGTAAATACCCTGTAAACTTCAAATTCTTACAGAAAAAAATATTTATCCGTAAATTGAATAAAACACAGATGATGTAATCAAAGCTTAAGAAATAAAATTATAGTACGGGAACTTTTAACAGAACATGAAAAGTCTCGAACACATTCTTTATATTGAACACGCTTACCTGCTCACTAAAAGTAATCATCATCCTGAAATTATGACAGATAAGCTAATAACGAATAACAATACATTAATCTAAGGTCCAGATCAAAATTTTAAATGTAATTTACATATTTTCAACAGAAAATTTAGGAAAAATTGTTTCTAGGCATACAAAGGATACCGAATTGTTTCTTAATCTTATTTATAACCAACATACAGCTGTTCTGTTGCATTTTAGGTAGTTTCTTTATCTTTACTATAAGAACGCAAGATTATGTCAACGAAATATTAAATGTTATTAAATAGTGTATACTCAAAGCATAGCACAATTAATCGCTATTCACTCACTATATAGAAACATCACATACCATTCATCTCGTCGATTTGGTCGGTCTATAACATACTTCCCACATCAAAACCTCAAAGTCAACTAACTCACTTATTTACTACTTCAAACAGGTTGTCCACTTCGACTTCCTCACATTTTCAATGACAATAAGAAACTAAGTGAGAAAGTTGTGAGAATCACTCATTTAATGATAATAAAAACAATACAGAGAAATACATGAACGACATAACAATGAATGAACAGTTCAACTGAAGTCGTGTTTATTCTTTCAGTGTGATCTTGTCGAATAAATATTGACCAAGTCATTTCAGTTGGTAGGTTGTTATAGGTAAATTTTCAACAGAGTCATGTCAGCCGTGTGATTTTCAAGACTATTAACGTTTGTTTCTAGAAATTGGTTTGATTTTCTTAGTTGTATTCATCACAGGATGATCTCAATTTGAATACCATTTAATACTAGGAAGCACTGAACATACGTTTGATCCTAATAGGAGAGTATCAATCAGCTTACACATAAAATCACAGATGGAATTAAATAAAAACTTGAAAGTTTCATGGAGAAATCTGAAACGTTAGATCAACAGTTTCAGCGTCTAAATGTACCATTATCAACTTCAGAAACTTCGCTATGTGTAGCGACTACCAACCAATGACTCTGGTGACACCTGTTTAGACGTCTACAGGTTGGAACGTCACAAGTTAGAACTTTCAACTAGAACGTAAGAAATATATAGAGAAAGCCATTTTAAAGTTAAAAATATAGTTTAATTGAAGTGACTCCAAGCAAATTGGTTTAATTTTTAAAATTTATTAGTCACATTGTTAGGAAATGCCTCACTAGGATTAAACGCTTATCCAGTAATGTGTAGTTTTCAACAACACCAAAGTGAGGTAATCTGTGAAAAATAAGACTTGTGCATTTCAAAATATTCTTAAGCTCGCTAATTCATTATCGATTCATTCAGTGTGTAGAAAGCTAACACATTTTGTGTACTATGGAATGTCCATATCCGTCACAAAATAAACAAATTCCCAACGTTATCTAATACTACATGGTTACTTTCAAATGTATTCTGAAAAATAACTGTATAGTATAATCTCAAAAGCCAACACAATAAATCACCATTCACTCACTATATAGAAACATCACATACCATTCATCACGTCGATTTGGTTGGTCTATAACATACTTCCCACATCAAAACCTCAAAGTCAACTAACTCACTTATTTACTACTTCAAACAGGTTGTCCACTTCGACTTCCTCACATTTTCAATGACAATAAGAAACTTAATGAGAAAGTTGTGAGAATCACTCATTTAATGATAATAAAAACAATACAGAGAAATACATGAACGACATAACAATGAATGAACAGTTCAACTGAAGTCGTGTTTATTCTTTCAGTGTGATCTTGTCGAATAAATATTGACCAAGTCCACTTCCAACTCGATCTGTCTCTGTCACATAGTCAGCAAATTGTTTGATTGCATCTTCTTGTTCATGCAAATACTGACTCTCAATGAAATCAGTCAGTGCTGGATCATTGTTCTTCACAGCGATTTCATGAAGTTTCAATAATGACTGTAAAAAGAGAAGAAACAATAGAACCAATGTATGTAGTGTATTTCATGTTGTCATTTAATAGATTAGTATTTCATTTTCACAGTGAATTGTGACTCACCATGTCTATGAAACTAACCAAACTAAAATGTAACTATCACATGTGTCAATTTAATACGATACATTCAAGTTTCATATTACTACTCAGAGATAGAAATGTAATGTACGAAATATGATGGTCAATTCGACAGTTGAGAATTGCACGTATTTTAAAGTCAGTGATGTGAACGATTACACAAACATTAATATAAAATCGAAATATATTTCTAAAACCAAATAATCATTTTCGATTGTCGGTTAACGATGATCTAGTTGTAAATAGATTATGATTCAATGTACCACTCACCTCATTCACTGCCTTCTCCATCGACAATGCAGTGTTCATCGCATCCTCCAAACCACCGAATTCTGTCTTAGTTGGACACTTGATATCATTGTATTGAACACGACCACCACGTTTGTTCTGATATTTGGCCAATTTCTCTGCATGTTCACGTTCTTCATGTGAAGCTTTTCGAAAGAATTCAGCTGCTTTCGGAAATGACACATCATCTCGATCGAAATAAGTGAAGAATGCCATATAATCATAAGCAGCCTGTAGTTCCACATTGATTTGTTTATTGATGGCATCTTCACATTCTTTAGCGAAATACTGTCTAGCTCTTGATTTACTCATATTGCTTTGTAATGTATCTCTTGAGAATTCTGTTTAATAATTTTCTATTTCTTTTGTGTATTTATATATGTATTTAATATAAACTCTGTACTCTTTCCAATTGTTGTTTTTCAATCTAAATAAACACGTAAACAATTTTCATACATTTTCGTATTGTCTTGTAGTTAACAATAACCAAAACAATATTGTTTCAATAATGGTGTATTGGCTTATGTTTATCTAAATGGTTGACTCATAGATAAGCTTTGAAATTCCAAGTTATTCAATAGTTATTTCACATATTTTCATATTTTCATTCCTAATCTTTTCGTTGGTATTTTTGTTTTTGACAAATACTTATCATAGTTACATATATAAACTGTATGAATATAACCGGTAGAAAATTTTAATATTCGCTAATGATAGTTTAGTGAACAGAACACGAGTTGGGAGGATCGTACGTGTTCAACATAAAATTACAGGACTTGTTAATAAAATGTAACAATCAAATAAGTAAATACGTAATTTGCAAAATGTTCACCAATTGTCTTGGAAATGAGTCCGACTTCGTTGTTCTTGCATTTTCATACAAATTGCATTCTGTTTCTATTCTTTACTGTTCGTTCCTCTTGTCTCTCTGTTGTCAGAGCTTCCGTTCACGACTAACATCATATACTACTTATGTCAATATCAGTAGCGCACATCACAATAGTAATTCATTACATCCATTAAATATGTTAATTATGTGTACAAATAATTAGCTTCTAAATGATATTGGTTCCATTTATTCTTAGAAATATATTAGTTTAAAGGCGGCCTATACTCCTCCACGATGTGTAATCATCGTAAGTAAGACAGCTAAGATCAATCGTAGAATAAAACAAATGAAATACTACTGAATAAATTATAACTGTGGTGGTGTTATGATTCGAATTAAAATACCGTTAGGACATTGTTCACTCAAGTATATTATCTGTTTGTGAATTATTTAACACTACAAAGAAAAAGACTGTTTATCAGAATATGTAAGAAAAGATGAATTTCATGGAAGATTACTAGGTTTTCAATGATCTTAGATGTTAAATTTAATATGTTTTGATATGAATAGATAAGGCACATTGAAATATTATCCTTTTTAAGTGGTTCCGATTGCTAGGTTTCAAGCTATCATGAGTTCACTTAATCTGCCAACGAGAACAAAAACTCAGTGACCAAAGAACAGTAAGCTAGCTATTTGATGCGTCCCAGCTTCGCTAACTAAAGGAAGAAGTCCAAGCTTGGAATGGGAAGTATATTCTGTAAACAGCCAGAAACGAGCGATCACAACAAACGCAATTCAAAACGTATATATATATCATACGATAAAAATATGCGTATAGTATTGGTCCACAAATGGATCCCAAAAATTAACCCTCATTATTCTTATCGTGCCATAACACCGATAAATAAAAACAATCAAATACTCTGGGAACTTTAAAATTGTTTCAAAAATCTAATGATCATTCAAGGGTTCATAGTTAGCTATTTTGCTTTAGTGGTAGAATATTCAATGATGTTATAGATTAAAAGATTTAACGATTAGAAAAAAGGTGAATTTATGATTTTAGTCAATAAAGTAGTTTAATTTTTTCTTTAAAAAGAAACGGATAGTCACAACAGTATCGAAAGTTTGTTAGTTGAGTAATTCAGTCATCATATTTCTGGAATATAGTGAATGATAGCAAAACAACACAACAAAGATATTCTCAAACATGTATTTGATTAACTTCACTTTGGAGCCCCTCTAGTGTTACTTCTAATCTAACGTACAAAAAAAGCAAGAACACATCATATAGGTTGAAGTAACAAATAAGCTTTGAATATTACTTACACTAACACTTGCTACATTTAGAATTCAGTTTATTAAATACAATTTATCGAAATACAATATCCATCATTTCAATAAACAACTTACACTCAAAAATGTTTTGCATTATGCTATATGAAAAAAACTTCTATCATGATGTCTAAACAGCAACTTTCGTCAATCCACATACAGTCAAATGTAAACTAAATTATGAGTTATGTATCAATAAAGGATAAAATTGAGTGCTAAATGTCCAATAAAAAAAACAAATCACACTGCATATAAAACAATATGAACAGAGTTAATGATTAGGTTACCGTTTCAAATTTTATCAGTCGGGCGTGCGTAATCAAGGTATCTGCACTGAAAAAAATCGTTTAGTAATATTCTTCCAATAGAAGTAGAATGAAACTAAGTGTATTGAGAAGACAACGATCACAGTTTCAACTGACTTCATATGTAATTTAATCAAGAATTATTTTATTGAATTAGAGAATCTTTGTAAACAAATAAAACAAGTCGTCTGGTAGAGTGAAAATTTGAAAGTGTTCTTTGAATCTTCCAGAGAGTAAACCAACGTTCACCAAAACCTTTCAATAATTCTTCTCTTAGACAATGAATAACTATGTGATGAGACCAACTGTCCGTTTAGAATATAAATTGAAATGGAATGCATGATCAATACATCGGAAATGTAAATTAATTAGGACTTAAATTGCACTCACAATAAACAGTTAATTCGAAGAGGAGAATTTTCATTTTGACAACCTCAATTTCACAAACTTTACTTTTATGAACATATTTATTTGAAGTTGTAGTGACCTACTTTTATCAAGAGAACGTGATCGGTGTAATGGAAACAATTATTATTATAACCAATTGTACCAGGGACTGTTTGACCGTACTTGTTTGTTTAACTGTACCGGAATACATACATTATCCCGTTGATTGTGACCTTGCACGAATTCGGTTACGCTCAGTAACTACACTTGTAACTTGGCACAATCTCGGTATTCTTTCCATACTACGAGACCGCCAACAAATACATCTTGACTACAGCCATCAACTGCCTTCTGATATTTGGTTTATGGGGATCTTATCGGTTAACTGGTACGTAGTCTTCCTGTAGTGGTGATCATAGTCAACGCGATAATATTTCGAAAAGTCTACCTATTTCACTGTTATAAATTGTTTTAATTATTCCGTCTACTTACAAATTGAAAGTAGTTCATCTTGTTGAGATAAAGCTGAACTGACATGTGAATTGGTTGCTTATAATCAATTTAGATTCATCCAACGCATTTAACACTACCATGAATAGCTTGGTCAAAAAACATGAAGTTGTCACTAAAAATTATTACACGAGATAAATACTCATTGGATCTACAGTAAACTGAGTTGTAACGTGATGAATAACTATTTCAAATACAATATGTGCGTTGAAAACTTGGGGATAAATCGTATAGTACAATAAATAATCAATCTCCTTCGTTGACACAATGAACTAATCTCAGTTGGACAACTAAGAAAAGCCAGGAATCTCTGGGTAGCCATTTCGTCTTAGTATGGAGCTCCTAACCAGAGAGCACCCATGATTCCTGAGAGGGTAGAACCAAAGATATTTAACTCTAGCATGCGAGTACTTTACCTTCAGAAACGTAACCCGGCCTCACATAGTATACATATGTATAAAGTCGGTTAAACTGAAATGTTATTTCTTGTTTCATGTGTTTGTGTAACTAACACTAGTCTATGAGGTAAAGTATATAAATTCACTATTCTATACAAACCCTTATATAGATAGAATTTGTTTGATGATCATAGGAATGTGGTTACTACTTTTATAAATTGGTAGATTATATAAATCGCATAGATAAATATACTTTCCTATGGATTTCATTGTTAGATATACCTAAACTTATCAGCTAGATAAATATACGCCAAGAAATGTAATTTATTACACGCAACCACAAATACAGGAGACGACGACCAGTGTAGCATCAGCCTCAAAAGCAGTATGTCACAACATACACAAAGGGAAAAGCAAGATTCTTCGCTACAACACAGCATGCAACAATCGAATCGCACTTGATGGAGAAGATTTGGAAGATGTAAAATCCTTTACGTATCTGGACAGCATCATTAATGAACAGGGTGGATCTGATGCAGATGTGAAGGCGCGGATCGGCAAAGCAAGAGCAGCACATCTACAATTGAAGCACATCTGGAACTCAAAACAACTGTCAACCAATATCAAGGTCAGAATTTTCAATACAAATGTCAAGACAGTTCTACTGTATGGAGCGGAGACTTGGAGAACTACAAAAGCCATCATCCAGAAGATACAAGTGTTTATTAACAGTTATCTACCCAAATACTTCAGATCCGTTAGCCAGACAATACCAGTAACAACCTACTCTGGGAGACAACCAACCATATTCCAGTGGAGAAAGAAATCAGGTAGAAGCGCTGGAAGTGGATAGGACACACATTGAGGAAAGCACCGAACTGCGTCACAAGGCAAGCCCTCACACGGAATCCTCAATTCCCAAGGAAAAGAGGAGGACCAAAGAATATATCACGCCAAGAAATGGAGACAGACATGAGAAAAATGAATAAGAATTGGATGGAATTAGAAAGGAAGGCTCAGGACAGAGTGGGTTGGAGAATGCTGGTCTGCAGCCTATGCTTCATTAAGAGTAACAGGTATAAGTAAGTAATATGTAATTTATTGATTGGTTGTATTTTTGTTGGATAGCGTTAATTGTTTATCTTCAAGTTCCTATGACTTCATTTAAAGGAACTGTTATTCAAAATAGAATTCAAGCTAAAATGTTTCTTGACACTGTCAAGAGGTGTAGTCAATGCTTTATACAAACACAACAAAGTTGATAAGTATTCAAACACTTTAAGACAATAAACATCATTCGTAAAATCAGCATCAGATATGTCTATAGTCAGTTTGATTTCGAATGATAAGATTTGCAAATTATTACTTAAATTGAATTCAGAATTCCAAATTTGTTTGCAAAATATTTAAATAAAATATGTTTTATTACCCTCAACGAAATCTGACACAATGCTATAATAGTATTTCCACCTTCTCACTGGTTTAATGTTCAAGAGTTGTAAAGAGGTTGGATTTTAGAGGTTTGCTTCAAGAGTGGTATTGTGGTGTGTGTTACTTATGTTGACAAATATAAATAGTATGTAAAATCAATCAGAAGTGAAATCCGTGGTAGTTGAAGATTGAGAAAACCAAAGTGAAGAGAACAAGAAATGTAAACAGAAAGTAATTGTAATAATAACAGAATTGAAAGTATTATGAAGCATGAAAAGGACAACGGAAGGAAGATGTGCAAATAATGTATTTAATGTATAGTTTTCATATTTTACTAAGCCACTCTGTAAATTTGCAATAAAGTATGAATGTAACTATTCGGAGGTTGTTGTTCGTTTAGGACTTAGGGGGTAACGTAACAAATTAACATTAGTACAAACCTCTATGCTAAACAAACTGACAGAACGTCTTCAAGTTTGAATGGTTGTTGGATTCATGAAATTATATAGATTATTTTCATCAATTAGGTGAGCTATATATCTTTGTAATATAGAGTTGCCATATTGTTCTACTTCAGGATTTCAATATTCACAAATTATGCATACCATAAACTACTTAAATATACTTCACTGGTTTTATAAACCACTTTATGAGAGATTATAAGAAATGATCAAAACGACTTAAATGCATGAACAAAAAGACCGTGATTATAAGAAATTTAATGATCAGTTTAGACTGAGGGCTTCGAACCAACGATCTACATTGAAAATGTGAACACATAAAAATAGTGAAAACAACTTCTATCACACATATTGAAATAGAATTATTGATCATTTCACCCAAAATACATATAATTGAACATCACAAATCATGGAGAAGGCAGAAGAATACTTCATCACAGAAGGATCTTCATCGATTCAGAACAAGCGTCCTTAGATCAAGTGATGTAATCATCAGAAATTATTTTCCATATTAGTCACATACATCATATATATGAGACAACTTATTCCAAATTAATCATGAAAATGTATGAAATATCGACTCTCATATAAAAACCAATCAAAAAATACAACAAAAATTATGAAAATATGTGAAACAATCAAACAAAATTTCTAATTTATCATTTACCAATCAAATAATCACAAAATTATTTATACACAAACTGAAAGAGTGGAGTTATGTGCATAGCCATTCACTTCAAATGTAAACAACCAACATCATGCGTCATTTACGAGTTCTCTATCACTCGACTGTAATTCATTCAGTAGCACGTGTCAGTTTGATTCACAAGTATAAAAGGCGAAGAGATACATATCACTGTATCATTCGATAAATTATTCAAACGATCATTTCTACATCGAATTTAACACAATGAACAGAACAGCTTCCAAATATATACTAACCGAATCGAGAGCTAGACAGAATTTCGCCAAAGAATGTGAAGATGCCATCAATAAACAAATCAATGTGGAACTACAGGCTGCTTATGATTATATGGCATTCTTCACTTATTTCGATCGAGATGATGTGTCATTTCCGAAAGCAGCTGAATCCTTTCGAAAAGCTTCACATGAAGAACGTGAACATGCAGAGAAATTGGCCAAATATCAGAACAAACGTGGTGGTCGTGTTCAATACAATGATATCAAGTGTCCAACTAAGACAGAATTCGGTGGTTTGGAGGATGCGATGAACACTGCATTGTCGATGGAGAAGGCAGTGAATGAGGTGAGTGGTACATTGAATCATAATCTATTTACAACTAGATCATCGTTAACCGACAATCGAAAATGATTATTTGGTTTTAAAAATATATTTCGATTTTATATTAATGTTTGTGTAATCGTTCACATCACTGACTTTAAAATACGTGCAATTCTCAACTGTCGAATTGACCATCATATTTCGTACATTACATTTCTATCTCTGAGTAGTAATATGAAACTTGAATGTATCGTATTAAATTGACACATGTGATAGTTACATTTTAGTTTGGTTAGTTTCATAGACATGGTGAGTCACAATTCACTGTGAAAATGAAATACTAATCTATTAAATGACAACATGAAATACACTACATACATTGGTTCTATTGTTTCTTCTCTTTTTACAGTCATTATTGAAACTTCATGAAATCGCTGTGAAGAACAATGATCCAGCACTGACTGATTTCATTGAGAGTCAGTATTTGCATGAACAAGAAGATGCAATCAAACAATTTGCTGACTATGTGACAGAGACAGATCGAGTTGGAAGTGGACTTGGTCAATATTTATTCGACAAGATCACACTGAAAGAATAAACACGACTTCAGTTGAACTGTTCATTCATTGTTATGTCGTTCATGTATTTCTCTGTATTGTTTTTATTATCATTAAATGAGTGATTCTCACAACTTTCTCATTAAGTTTCTTATTGTCATTGAAAATGTGAGGAAGTCGAAGTGGACAACCTGTTTGAAGTAGTAAATAAGTGAGTTAGTTGACTTTGAGGTTTTGATGTGGGAAGTATGTTATAGACCGACCAAATCGACGAGATGAATGGTATGTGATGTTTCTATATAGTGAGTGAATGGCGAAATGTTGTACTACCCTATGAGATTATACTATACAGTTATTTTTCAGAATACATTTGAAAGTAACCATGTAGTATTAGATAACGTTAGGAAGTTGTTTATTTTGTGACGGATATCGAAATTCCATAGTACACATAACGTGTTAGCTTTCTACACATTGAATGAATCGATGATGCATTAGCGAGCTTATGAATATTTTGAAATTTACAGGTTTTATTCTTCACAGATTACCACACTTTGGTGTTGTTGAAAACTACACATTACTGGATAATTGTTCCATCCTGGTGAGGGATTTCCTAGAAATGTTACTAATAAATCTTACAAAAAAACCAATTTACTCAAAGTCACTTCAATTAAACTATATTTTTAAACTTACAAATGGCTTTCTCTATATGTTTCTTACTTTCTAGTTGAATGTCCTAACTTGTGACGTTCCAACCTGTAGACGTCTAAACAGGTGTCACCAGAGTCATTGGTTAGTAGTCGCACCACATCGCGAATTTACTGAAGTTGATAATGGTGCATTTAGACGCTGAAACTGTTGATCTAACGTTTCAGAATTCTCCATGAAACTTTCAAGTTTTTATTTAATTCCATCTATGATTTTATCTGTAAGCTGATTGACACTCTCCTATTAGGATCAAACGTATGTTCAGTGCTTCCTGATATTAAATGGTGTTCAAACTGAGATCATCCTGTGATGAATACAACTAAGAAAATCAAACCAATTTCTAAAAAAAAACGTTATTAGTCTTGAAAATCACACGGCTGACATGACTCTGTTGAAAATTTACCTATAACAACCTACCAACTGAAATGATAACAATTTACTAATAACTTGTATTCTTACACTTACAAACATACTTCACAAAACATTTACAATATTATTAACATTTACACAATATCTGTGTGTATACATATGGTCACTTGAAAATTGAAAGTGGTAAACAAAAGTGAAACTAGAAGATTTCACTAAGCTTTATTGTAATATTGTAATATTTCGATCACCCTAATCAATACTAGAATGCTTTATTTTTTGAATGTGATTCATACAGTCCATATTGAAATATCATCATCATTATCAAAATGAAAATGGTTACCTTTGGTTGATGAGAATTTGTCAGTGAGCAACTAAGTTTTCATAGAAAACAAGAAATAATGTATTCAAATTATTATAAATAATTTATGGGGTTCACTATGCCCAGACGATGATAATAGTAATTTTTCCTTTACTATTCCATTATATTCGGACTATTGAAGATTATTGACGGTGCTTTTACTAAACTTTTCATTTGGTCAAGAATATAAATAAGGATTTTGGTAAACAGCTGACCCTTATTATTTTTAAGACAGGATATGCTTCCCATCTAAAGGCATTTTTGATTGTGGGTGACTGAAATAGCCACAAGTATCTTTTAATATATATATAGCCTTTAAAATGCAAAAGTATTGTAGCACTCAGCATGTACGTAAGTGTCTAGCAGAAGTTATGCTGTGTGTTGAAGGAGCGGGAGTGGCAGCCCCTGTGAAAAAATCTGAATGAGAGAAAGTGTGAGCAGATGACTCACTAAGGTCATAGAATGCAAATCATTTCATGATGAAAGCAATCAATAAATGCTAGCAATAACACAATGGTAAGATTAGGACAATTTGATAATTGAAACTAGAAATCGGTAGTATAACGTATCAAATGAGTTACAGTACCAAAATATCTAATGCTATTATCTTAAAGTATGTTGTCCTCACAATTTATATTAAACCTACTCTTATGATGACTTCAGTTAAGATTTCAGTAAGATAACTCATATACAGATTGCATTTAGATTAGATTAACTGTCTACGAATCTGGTTCACCTGACTTCACATCATTATTATCAGAAGGACGATGAAAGTTCCACGCCCAAACCATCCAACTCAGAGAACAAAACTCTATCCAAATCATCCACCTGAACTACAAATCTTCTCCACCATCTTTCTGTTGAAATTTATAGACACGCACAGGCAGTTAAAAGGAATGGTAATGATTTTCAAAGTAGAAGCATTAATGTGATAACTATACAGTTGAAATCAAACAAATGAACGCTTAAATGAAGTCACCTGATGAGTAGGTCACGTAAGGTGATGTAAAATTAAACCAATAGAATTAAGCAGATGAGAGAATTGTAAAGAATATAAATAAATAGTCTTCCAACCTAGAAAAGGAACAATAGATGATTAACTATGATCCACATTATAAACTGAAGGTTGTTTTTATATTTGCTTGAATTTTATTTTTCATGATACATTAATGGAATCAATTTTAATCTACACTTTACAGAAGATTAACATACAACGAATGAGTGATTAAGTAGGTGAAAGCATTAAGTGTAGTAGCAGCCTCCAAAGTAGTAGGTTCCAACATACACCAAAAAAAGCAAGATCCTCAAATGCAACACAAACAGCACCAACCTAATCACACTTTATGGAGAATCTCTGGAACGGATTAAAACTTTTACGTATCTGAGAAGCATCACCAATGAACAAGAAGGATCCGATGCAGACGTAAAGGCAAGGAATGGCAAAGCGAAAGCAGCATTTCTACAACTGAATAACACATGGAACTCAAAACAAGAATATTCAATACAAACGTCAAGAATTTCCTGTTGTAGGGGGCTGAAACTTGGAGAACTACCACAACTATGGTCAAAAAAGTACAATTACGGTACAAGATATTCAAAGTTTGTTGACCAGATACGACGTACTATAGCAGAGTATAAACCAGCTTACATCTGAAGAGGAAATTAGGAAAAGACATTGAAAGTGAATAGGGCATATATTACGGAAATTATCGAACTGAACCAAGAGGCAAGCCCTATATCAGTCTTTTGAAGGTAAATGGAATGCTAAAGAGTACATTGCGTCGGGAATAGGAGGTACACATCAAAATAATAAATAGGGATTTGAAGGGAGAATTCAGGACAGAATTGGTTGGAGAATGCTGGTGGGCGACCTATATTCCCAAAATTTGTAATAGGCCTAAGTATGTAATACATATATTACACTGCCAACAAATTGGAATTTTTATTCGCCTTCTATGGCCTATTAGAAAATCAGTAGTGATTTAGGAAAACAACATCCATGAAAGACCCTTACCTTTTTTTACTATATCAATTGAAACTAAACATATTTTTCTCATTAAATTCTCAAACCAGATCCCGTTGATCACTAGAACTTTGTTGGATGCTTCATTATCTCAAAACATTTCACGAAAATCTTGTATTATGATAAATGCACACAGTTTGTGATTGAATTTATAACTAGTCCGTGTTCATTCTTCAAAACCTTGATGTTTCAGACCATTATGACTTTAATATTATTATGGTGACAAACAGTCTAGAACCTAAATGACAAGTTAATAAATGTTCATTGATTAAAGTTTAAAATATTCACCACTCGATGATAAGTCATTGATCTAAAAGTTACCTGGCAATTCCGGTTTCTACATAAATAATAAGTACTTCTGAAGAATCCTATGTTGAAATGAAACGATCATCTAATCCCCTTTAGTTTTCATTGATTATATAACTAAAATCTCTAATCATTAGTTTAATCATTTCTTCTCAACCCTAATTTATGAAAACTAACACATTCGAATTTTAATGACAAATATGATATAGAATTTCTTCATTTAATAACATAAAGTATGTATTACACATTACTTAGCAATTAAACTACATTACAATGAAAACAAAGATATATATTTAATCGTTGAAATCATGAGTCTATTGCAGCTAGATCACCATGGAAAATCTGGGAGTATTGGACGGCCGTTTCATCCTAGTACTCCTTAGCAGTGAGCATCCACGATCCCGCCACCCACGAGGTTCGAGCCCAGCACCTATCAGTCTCGCGCTCGAGCGCTTAACCACTAGACCACTGAGCCGGCCAGCATCCAACGGTGTTAATGTCTAACTTCAACTAATCCACGAAATAGCGCCACCGTAAACCATTGTCTTTAGTGAGCTGATATCTCACAACCGACTTAGTTGAACTCCACTGATAACGACTTCTCACTAGAACTCCAGAAAATGCCTCTTTAAGTCAGTTACAGGTTTTCCATAGTGGTCTACCTTCCATTGACTCATGATTTCAACTATTGAAATTATTAAAATCTCCACAAAACCCCTTCTGATATATTTAATCACTAATTATTTGTATCCCCATAGAACATAAATGTTATTTTACTCTAATATAAATAATATTGTAAACAAACTATAATTAACATATGATTTAGTTAATCAAATGTAACAAGATAATGTAATGAAATTTCATTATTAAACAATGTTTGTAGGTTGAAATGGGTCACAAGATAATCGTATATTTTTTTTCTCAGTCTAATAAACCTATCTGAATTCAGAATGTCTTAGATATTACAATACTGTATGTCATTATTATTGAAATAATGTAATTTAGATTTTTATATTTATATATCAATGAGATGAAGTGAAGTGTCCTGAATACTGGAAATCAATATTTAATGTACTGACCGATTAAGAGAGTAATTCGTTTAGTCTAAAGAACACTATTAATATTATTAGTCATTGATAAAACTACCTATGTAATTAGTTAATATTGTTCTATGATAAATGTATTGTGTGAACGTCAAGATCTAAGTGATTTCAATGATATGTTTAAGAAAGAAATAACAATATATTCAGTCATGAATGTTAACACCTATTCTTTAGTTCTTTGGTTTAAATGGTAGATTATATTTTCTCTGATGTTTAGACAAATACAAGCATCGGTTTATTGTTTTCTTAATGACATGAGTTTAAATTCCATGGGAATAATCATCCCATTTAGTTCTTAAACTCACTGAAAATACTGACATTAGTTATTACAAAGATCAAGTTCCTGACCTTCTTTCGATTGCTTTCAGTTGTCTAACATCAAGAAACTGTGTATTATGAGACCAAAACACGTAACCCAGGTTACACATTATAATTGATTATTAAAAATCCATCATTATTCAGGATTAGATACTATGGTACTGGTTACTTTGTCGTACTTTCAGAAGATACCGAAATGCATAAATCTCTGGATTCATGTTGTATCAACCTGTTAATAGTCTTTATTCACGTCAATAAGGCATATTAATACATAACTCGATAGTCTCTATTATCAGATCTTGAGCTTTGTTGACTTGTCCACCGAATTTTCTTAATTAAGATTTTAATTTGCTTAAATGATTGTTAGACAAGATCAAACTCATCAATAGGTTACTTATGAAGTGAGTCATGATAATTTGAAGTAGTATATTGAGTTGTTTCAGTTTCAGTGGCTACACTTAATGAATATGTTCACATTGTCATAATTTTTAACACTGTAGCAAAACATGATTTATCGTTAAAGAAAAGTTAGTTGAATAATAGTCGATAGAAAAAGGTCTATCTGGAATAACGATGTGAAGGTTAAAAAAATTTCAAAACCCTGTGTAAACACTTATTTTGGTTTTAGCTAAATCACTTAGAATTTGCAAATACGGATTCGTTCTGTTCATTAAACTCTTGATAGCAGGTTTTAAATGGGCTACGTGAATTATATGAACAACTGATAATTTAGTGAAACTTAATAAGATCCTAAACCTGATAAAACGATCGACAGATCTTTATTTGATTATTCCACAATTCTCATGAGTTGTGTTATGAAGAAATCCGTTAACAAACTAACAGTGACACTTTTTTTATTCTGTCTGCCTCCACTGAACATATTATTCATACAATAAAATAAAACATAATATCCCATTGTATATATTTGCTTATCCATCTAGACAGTTAAAGATGGCAAGTTTTAATAACTCAGTGAATCCCTAGAATAATCATGACCTCTTGAAAATAAATATAGGTAAAAATCATCATTCTCTGAAAGACAAATAAGTTATTATACTGACATCATTTTAAAACTTATGAAATGAAGTCAACTAGACACTAAATAACAAACTTGATTATCTTACCTCCTGTACTGTGGTTCAATAAGTCGTTCTTAATGAATACGATGCTTTCACAACATTTTTACTTTCATCATTTAGTCTGTAGTGTATGAGACACAGGTGGGAACAGCTAATTTATTGTTCAATACAAAATTACAGGATCTTTTCGTAAAATATGAGGACCATACATTAAATACTTCGTTTGCGAATCCTTCATCAATTGTCCTTCACATTCTATACAATTCTTCCTATTCATAATTCCTTTGTATTTCCCTTTTTGTTATCTCAAACTCAATCTTCTTAGCCTTCTACTGCCAGCCATTCAAATTTAAATGGTGTTACATACAATTTATGTTTGTTGATATAAGTCGCACACGCCACAAGTCTCCATGCTTCTTTAATGTAATTTAATGCTTAAAATATATTTCAATTCAATATTTTCTAGGAAAACCAAACTCATCTCATTTACAAAACGTGTGGAGGTGGTGAATGTTAACCTAATGTGTAAACTTTTTTGTCATGTTGCACGTTTCCCATAACTTCGTTAATCTTTAGAATTATTATCATTAACTAAGAAAACGTTGAATCGATATTGGATTTCCCCGTACACCCTCAATGATTAACATTCACTGAATGTAAGTGCTATATATACAACATTTCGTTTTCTCTCAGTTTGGTACAACATCAACAGATAAGAATACAATTGGTTTCTCACTATAGCTTTACATTACAATAAAGTATGAAGTCAATACCAAATAGATAATGATCGGTCAGTTTAAGAATGTATTTCAATATTTTCTCTAGAGATATTAATCAGTTAGAAACCCAAGAGATGAAAAATCTAGAGTAAAGAGAAATTACATAGTCAGCTAATTATTGAAGCTGGTCACATAAGAATAAGGAAACAAAATTGAGTAGTTTTGAAACTAAGCAACTGAATATTAATATTTAGTGTTATTCATGAAAATAATTCCAAGAAAATTAGATGATCAGATTAAGGCAGATTATACAAGAATAAAATTAGAATTGAATAAGATCACAAAAAATACTTAAACTACATATGCATAATTATGCAGAAGGTCAGGGTAAGTTAAACTGCTTTACAAATTTCTCCTGTGCACATAGATTCAATTTATCTCAATGTATTTCCATAACACCTACTGTATATAATAGATGAATCCTGAAACCATGGAAAAAGTCTATGGGAAATTTTGAAAGTTAACTTTTTTCGTTGCGGTGACAAGTATCGACTAGTTGTTTCCGAGCGGAAGTTCTTACTGTTTTCTTTCATAATGGACCTATTTTAAGTCAGTTTCTCAAACTGGAAATGTTTTCGATTCGGTAGTCCTTCCCAGAAAGTTAGACACTACTATTTATCTGAAAACTCATGTTAAATATGTACATCCCACCATAAATGGAGATGATTTCACTTCATTTTCCTCGATTGAATATGTTTATAACTCGTAACAATTATATCAACTTGTTATTTTAAAAGATCTCACTTTAAATTCTGTTGAGGTTATACACAACACTTCTAATATTCGATAATCCTACTGTATTCGACACTGTTAGTTATTTTTATGCTCATTTAATAGGTAAGTGATACAATGTACTGTGTAATTTTCATTGAAGATATACTTATGGAACAATTAAAATGCTACGGATAACCCTAAGTTTGAATTACTATAAAACCTTTATACTATGAAGTGAAAAATGATAGACACCGTTTAATCCATATGCAAACTATAAGGATAAAGAAATTAATTCACATTTATATCATTTGGACTATTCTAACATTTTGATATGTAGTTCACTGATCATATAGGGTTACAGAATATTCGATTAGTTGTTTCTCGTCTTATCGATTATTAACAACATTGGCTTTACTTAAACACGAACGAAAAACGTGATAGGCTTATAGACGACATTGAAAAAGTAAAGCATGTTAGAACTAGATGGTTATATTGTTGAAGTAAATGTGATCTATTTACAAATAAATTTTATTTTTAAAAACAAACAAACAAACTATGCTGTATCAAATGAAATCATGATAATGAGGAATGTCATTTAAAATAGAATAATTAAAATCACTCTATTCATTTAATGTTAATTTATCGAATAGATATTCTCCAAGTCCTTTACCAACTCGTTGTGTTTCTGTTAAATAATCAGCAAATTGTTTAATTGCATCTTCTTGTTCATGAAGAAATTCACTTTCAATAAAATCTGTTAATCCTGGATCATTGTTCCTTGAAGCTACTTCATGAAGTTCTAATAATGACTAAGAGAAAAAAGTAATAAAATGATTACTGAATAATTGGTTTTGTAAAATTAGAAAAATGACGAATTTCGAAAGGTAGTCACTAGAGTTCCATAGGGAAATTGCGACCAGTGATGTTTAACCGTGTCAGGTGTGAAATAAGTATCACCAGTGGTATTGAACACGGATTTAGAAATATCGCGAACTAACAAACGATTGGTAATCGCTCATTTATCTAAAGGTTGAACGCTTGTAGCGATACCTTAAGGTCCTGAGTTTGAATAAGCCCCATCAACTCCCAAACTAAGAGTAAACAGCTATCCAACGTTTCCTAGTTTTGAGTGGTTGTCTAAATAAGGTCGATACGTAATAGAAACTACATACTAAATGTATGCGCTGTGTTCTCGATAAATGTGTAATCGAAATGAAGTACCTAAAGAACATGTTGGTCAACTCCGTATAAATTTTTATGAAATAACCATGTGCAAACGAAGAATATCAGTGCTATTCTACATGACTTCGTTTCAGTATAGGAGAGAGTTCCATATTAAGCTACGTACGAATACGTAGCTGGAAATTGGTTTGATATGAAAACGATATTTATTCAGAGTAACGCATAATTAACTTTCAGCAGATAGAATACACCTGACTGTCTCTATGGTATTGTTAACTTAACAACCCTATGGTTAACAATGCCAAAAAAATGTTTTGATTTGTTAGGATTTCATATTTTAAGAGATAACCAATGACACTAAAATGATGAAACAGTTGGATATTGTGCAATCATGTCAGTTTAGATTGTGTGGTTAATCCAACAAAGGAATCCAAATAATCCTATATGACCAATAACTACCCACTGAAACCGAAATATTGATGCGAAACCTCAGTAAACGGACATTAAAATACAAGAAACTTAGTGATCAAACTGAATAGTTTTATGGAGAATTACAAACTTATTGAGAACGTAATTGACTATAGAACTTAAATTTTGCTGACTATTTACAACACCACGGAATAGAAATCTAACTGGAATGCTAACTGATGATTCACTTTGTAACTAAATTTTTTAACATAAACATGTAAGTCATTGCATTAAAAACGATTTATAAAATAGAATCTAATGTGGTTTATATTTACAGTAGAACACAATACCCATAATTGAAACAGTCGTCTACACTTCATTTCTATACTGTCATTGTTTATCCAGTATGCATATAAAAACAGTCAATGAACTACATCTTACAAGATTAGAAAAACAATCGACAGATAGACACGATACAAGCTTAAACAAATAAATTAAAGTAATAGCTTCAATATGGTTAAGTACATTATCACCCTTAATGTATTTTATCCATCAGTGGATTTAAGTTTTCTTTATCTGAATATTATTTGAGCTATATCTCGGGTTCAGTTATATTTCTGTAAAATAACAGAATTTTTAAATGTGTCTAAAGCCAAACTAGTCAAGATATCCTACTCATTTTTTTGTATCTTCAATTCAAACAACTGGAAACTACATGCCATTTGGTAAATATTCGTAGTGAACAATGAATTTAAATATAAAGGAGTAAACAATTACTTCTGTAACAGATAAACAGTTAAGATAAACGATTGGTATGGGGTAAGTGACTCCAATGTCATGGACTAATCATCAAACTAACATGCTCTCTGCTAACAGTTTTTCGGTTCGTTTTGATGAATAAACTATCACTTAGTACTTATAAGGCTTAAAATTAGTGAAAATACTGACATGTAAGCGGCATAATGAAGTGATTATGGATCGGTTAAAAAAACACGAAGTAGCATATTTCGATGCGATATCTCTTAAATTTAGTTATGAGGGTAAAATTCAGGTCAACACTAAGACATAGTCAGGACTAGATTTTACAGAATGTATAAACTAACCCTAAATCCTATATCAGAACCTAGATCCCACTTCTGAACTATGTATTTAAACCATACATATATAACTTAAGAAAGTTCAATGACCACGTGAAACCAAGAAATCCCTAGTAGGTTCTTTTGTTTTTTTATTCATCATAAATTGAACATTCATATTTTCTGTCTTCTAATTCACGGTATCAGGTCATGACCTCATGGTTGTTCGGTCGGTTTCTTAATGTCCACGCAAATAAACCAATTTAAAATGTAGCTTAATTGTTGAAAAAAAGGTAATCAAGAAGTAATTAGTGTTCTGACTTACATTACTAACTGCTTTTTCCATTCCAAGGGCGGTATTCATAGCATCCTCCAAACCACTGAATTCTGTCTTAGTTGGACACTTGATATCACTATATTGAACACGACCACCACGTTTGTTCTGATATTTGGCCAATTTCTCTGCATGTTCACGTTCTTCATGTGAAGCTTTTCGAAAGAATTCAGCTGCTTTCGGAAATGACACATCATCTCGATCGAAATAAGTGAAGAATGCCATATAATCATAAGCAGCCTGTAGTTCCACATTGATTTGTTTATTGATGGCATCTTCACATTCTTTGGCAAAATTATGTTTGGCTCTTGATCCACTCATGATTTTTCTAATTTAAACTATTTAAACTATTTTTTAAAAATTTTATTTAGTTTCCTAGATCGTTTACTAGAGTCTTTCGTCTAACCTAACACTCACTGATCTAACAATTGACTAAAACTGATTCAATCCAAATTTGTTCAGTCCTTTTATTGATTTCGAAACAGACACATATACTGCATAACAATACGTAGGAACTGTTAAAGCTATGAAATAAACACATATTTCCTAAATAATAATATTAGGATTGAATAATCAAACAAATGCTTTCCATTTGTTTTGAATACCTGTTTGTACACTACTAACTATTTTATGCTATTTAGATTGGTTGAAATTAATATCTATAAGACATGGTCTACTTTCATACAAATTTCATACAATTTTTTTCAAGTCGCTTCCCTATTGGTTGTTTCGTATCCATGCTGATTTTATAGTTTCATAAGATTAAAACGTGAAATTATTTTCCTAACAGTGACATCATCGTAAAATTATAATAGTACAATATGAAGTACACCAGTACGTATACAACTGTATGATTGTGACTAATGTTTATGATAAATTCTTGATAACTATGTGACATATTAAGAAGAATAGAATATCGGAGTTTAAGTTATTCAACTCTAGTTGACTTTGATGAATGATGAAAGTGTGATCGTATACAATTTAAGTTATATCGAATTTTAATCGTTGAGATCATGAGTCATTTGAAGCTAGACCATCATGGAAAATCTGGAAGTATTGGACAGCCGTTTCGTCCCATTGTAGGACTACTCAACAGTGCGAATCCATGGTGCCGCCTCGTGAGATTCAAATTATTTAATTGAATAAAACTAGATGAAATATTTATTATTATCACTAGATTAATGAAAGGCTTTTTAATCAGAATTGTTCTGTAGCATCGTTTAATTCTATAATGGTATTATTATTGTTGGCTTTATTCAATATTATATTTCTGGTACAATATAGAATTCTTAGCACAAAGTACTTCAACAAATTTCCATTTCTTATTTCTTGACCGGTCCTGACAATCATTATTGAGTGGTCGCCGGTTAAACGTTAGTAGTTCAAGTACAGACATCTGATTAATGTGTATTTTTTTCGATGCATATTCCCAGCAACCAAGATATCTCTGATCGGCCTTTTTCATAGCTTGTACAGAGAAATGTCTTAAATTTTTCACAAGCGCACCTGAATAATTTATGCGACCAATAGGCATAATGACGTGTTAAAACAAACAAGAAAACAGATAACTTGTTGAAATATCCAGATGGCAGGAACAGGTGACTAGAATATTTAAGCAAGCCACTTTATGGTAAGCAAAAGAATAGTTCTATTTTGGTTCCTACCTTTCTATTTTACGTGGTAATCGTAAATTCTTGTATGAAATTTACACATACATTGTTAAACAGAATCATTGTTTTACACTCAAAGTGCAGCATATTAAATTATACATCTCGATTTTCTAATTAATATCTCATATTGTATTGATAATTCTCTACTAGGTTCGTGTTCGTTTAAGTATCTGAAGTGAAAAAGAACTAATACGGATGAACTTTAAAAAAAAACACCATGAAGTCATGATACCTTATTCTATTGAAGCCTTAAATGAAGCAAAAAAAATAATTATCATCAAATATTTAATATCAGATGGGTTTTGTGGATATTATAGTAATTTCGTGGACTAGTTGAAGTTAGACATTAACACCGTTGAATGCTGGCTCAATGGTCTAGTGAGTAAGTGCCCGCGCGCGAAACCATTAGGTCCTGGGTCCGAATCTCGCGGGGTGGCGAGGTCGTGGATGCGCACTGCTGAGGAGTCCCACAATAGGACAAAACGGCCGTCCAGTGCTTCAAGGTTTTCCATGGTGGTTTAGCTTCAACTGACTCATGATCTTAACCATTGAAATATTTAATACTTATAAATCTACATTTGTTAAACTGTAACTTTTCCTACTTATTTTTCCACATGCTTTAAGGACTCATATTTTTTAAAAAGAGTTGAAATAACATTATTGTATCTTTGTACCGAGGTTGCGTAATTTGTCAATAGTATGATCTTGAAATTATCTGCTTACATTTACTAAACCCAGTTGAATTTTCTTTTCAATTATTTCCCTTTTAAACTGATACAAGTCACATCATATTAAATTGGCACCTGCATGAGTACTAGTAGTTATAGATGAAACCATTTGATTGTATCACTCTTCAGTTAAGGTGACGGCTAACTGGAACTTTGGTTAACTGCTATTGTGATGTGTGCTACTTATACGGACAGATATAAGTAGTATGTATCAAGAATTGAAAGTAGGATTCTTATTGAACGAATAGGAATATGAAGAGAAAAAATGTACAGAATCAGTTCGAGTAACAACAGGGATATAAGAACGATGGAGTTTATAAGTGAGTCCAAGGAAGATGTGCAAATGGCATATTTAATGAATCATTTTCACATTTTATAAATGCAATGTGTGATTCAGCTTAATTCAATAAAAACTACGTTCGTTACACAATGACTGTTACTTTAAAATTTCACTTTTGTTAATCGTTATTATCCATGACTATAAAATCTTTGTTTATATGGACAGTTTTCAAAATAATTTCACCTTAAAATTCACCATTCTTGTATAAGCTTAACTGTTTCATCAATGTCTTCGTTGATTAGTAGATGTTAAGTAATTGCATTAGTATTTAACAATACATAGTGATACTAATTGCGGATAGAATACAATGGGAACATAATGACTGGTTAACATTAGGACAAATCTAACAAAAAGAACAATGAACAATATAACTTATTAAAATTTTCTAGATTTAACATTAAAAACAATAAATACTCTATTAAACAATTTAATAAAACTGATGTGAACAGAGACACACAGAATCCATGGTGTATAACAGTAGCTATACTAACAATTAGTTTTGTCCCTAGGTTATTCTACAAACCATAAGCTTTCGTTTGATGTATGATTCACTGGCACACCCTTTTCTTTTCTAAAGCTATAGTAATTTAAACGTGACCTTTTGTACTCTTTTCTTCTACCGTAACGCCCAGTTTGGACATCATTGTATTTTTCTAACTATTTTTGCGTTGTGGTCATGTTAGTCATTTATTTATTCATGTATCTTTTTATTCTGGGATCGAAAATCACTCTCTCGCTTGTCTACCGATCATGTGATAGAATAGTTTTCATCTTTCTGCCCAAGGCCGTTAGTCTTAGTTCGGACTAACGCATGTAGGGCCAGTGAAATGTCACTGAGCCCTAGCCAAATCATCCGGCAGTTGGATCACTGAATGTCGAACAGATCATCGCTCCCTGCCAAGGTCATGTACAAGCAACGCGCATTAGTTAATCATACGCCATGGACTGGCCCATGCGGCAGTGGTCTTACTTTCGCCTGTATCTACCTTAACTAATATATTTCTGTAATAACGTCCTTTGTGTTGTACAGTCTTCAAAGCATCTATAGTACCTTGTTACGTCAATGGGGGTAGTCCACGTAAGGTGCTGACCACGAGGTGTGACTTCGACGTTAGTTGGTTCGTCACACTATTCACGTCTAACTCGAGTCGGCCTCCAATCATTTCGACATAGATCATCTACGTTGGTGATCTACACTGGTGAGCAAGACTTCGAATAACGCAACCTATCACTATAATCTTTATTATTGTATTCTATACTTATTCTTTTTCATTTTTATCATCGCCTATGTTAATCTGTTACTGTGAACTTTCGTTGCTTCATGTCAATGTTGATTAGTATTTAAACCTAGATAATTCGTTCAATCGACAGAACTAACCAATCAACTACGATTATAATCGGCTATCGTGGTTCTTTAACAAGCATTAGCAGCATGTAAATGCTCCTGTGTAATATGTCTGTTAAAATATCAACCACTCGTGAGTATAGCCACAAGGCAACACGAACGCATATCTCTTTGTACCTTATCCACTGGTATAAATAAGACAAGATTAACTATCGACTATAAATTCATCTTTCTGCTTAACCACTATCCACTAGAATGTTCTGCTTTTTTTACCACTGCCTGCCTAATTTCCAATTGCTGAGTTCCATGGCCAAACAGAGGATACGAATGCTAGAAATTCACGGTGAGTTTGAACTATAAATTTCCTGCGATCTTAGATCTCGTTTAGACTGTTCGTCAGTCTACAACGCTGTGTTAATCGAAAAATTTAATCAACAGTACCTCGTACATAATCCAGATTCAAACTACTGCCTACTTCATTACTTAAAGGCAAGAGTAACCCAGGCGAGTTTCATAATTTCATTAGATTATTTCGTACTATATTTATGATGCGTGATAACATTTCGTAGTTGCTTTCACGTAAACTAGTCATATATTCTGTCACTGCCGTCAAGTTTTAGTCGAAATCATGTACATTTATGACTCGTTAGTCGACATACTGTGGCAAAACATATTGCATGTACACGAGCACGCTTGGTCCATGTCCCAAGTACACATGTTGTCGTACTTAATATGTCACTTAATGCTAGGTAATAAGCTCTTTGTATCATCCTTTTACGAAATGGCCACGTTACCTGGACCCTCTAAACCTTAGTTACATTGGTGGTTACCATTTTACTTAATGTTTATTATACCCCTTGTATTTGCTAATAATTCACACGGTAAATCATGGCTCGATTTCCTTATTACACAACAGTCATTTTAATTCTATTTTCGGTTTATTTACATGCGATACGGGTTTGGAAAATATCTAAACGTCCTCGAAAATTCTCCACGAACCCAACCATAGTTTTCGTATATGTTTTTATTCACACATCCAACTGTTACGCTAATCATACCTAAGCGAACGTTCAGTGCAACTGTCAGCATACGTAAGAACGACGTTATTTAGACTTGACATTGTAACACATCTGAACTATTGTAGTTGTTCTACTTCGATGTCGTACTTCATTTTATGAAGTATTGTTTCCTCGTGGCTGTTGTTTAACAGATGATTCCGGTACATCAATCGGCTGTTCAACTACTCGACGATTTACAACCTGTCCAGTTCAATTGGTGGTCTGACGACAATATCATTCGCGCGAATCATCAGTTTATGCAGTCGAGCGAATCTCCTGCAAACTGAAAACGATATTGTCGCCTCTATCCCAACACTGACAGCGTTTTTCACGGGTATCATTGACATGAGTCCAGAGTGACACTCTTGGTTTCTTATGTTCTTTTCGATATTTTTCTGTTCACTAACCGAACAAACACGCAGCATTCACCGTTTATCATCTTTTAGAGACTTCATCGTGCCATCTTTTGCTGTCGATTTGTAGCCTTCAACCCTTACTGACTGTAACAGCAGTCATCGACTTTTCAAACTGTGACTACAAGTTGGTCAATAGCTTCGCACAACGAAATCACGACCACTCTTCACTGTTATACTTCTGTACTTACGGTTAGTCTGTTAGATATAGATATAACTAGAATTTGACACTAATTAATAGCTGTCAACGACACTGTCCGACTTACAACTTTAAACTAATGACAGTACAAATATGGGTATCGATTGATTATACACTTATCCTACTATCGCTATAGCATCATTACTCTTGTGGCAGACTTAACGTTTGTCATCGGAGGAACTGAATTACTTGTCAACGCTATATATTTCAGCGCGACTTGATAGAACAATAAAACGTTTTGTTCTTTTCATTATTTCTATGGTTAATCGCTTTACGTTTAACCAACGTCCTACTAACATACTATGACTCGCTGTTTCCCGACCAGTTTCTGCCGCCTCCTTTCCATTTCTTTTACAGATAAGCAATACCTGGAGGATTTATAATATTCGTTTGGCACTCTCTGGTGCGCGACTGCTCCCAACATGTTTGGTACCGATTCAAACGGCCGTTGAATCTGGTGGGGGAGTATTGTAGGGCCAGTGAAATGTCACTGAGCCCTAGCCAAATCATCCGGCAGTTGGATCACTGAATGTCGAACAGATCATCGCTCCCTGCCAAGGTCATGTACAAGCAACGCGCATTAGTTAATCATACGCCATGGACTGGCCCATGCGGCAGTGGTCTTACTTTCGCCTGTATCTACCTTAACTAATATATTTCTGTAATAACGTCCTTTGTGTTGTACAGTCTTCAAAGCATCTATAGTACCTTGTTACGTCAATGGGGGTAGTCCACGTAAGGTGCTGACCACGAGGTGTGACTTCGACGTTAGTTGGTTCGTCACACTATTCACGTCTAACTCGAGTCGGCCTCCAATCATTTCGACATAGATCATCTACGTTGGTGATCTACACGCATTTCTATCCTCACAGTTAAATAGGTTAGATTATCGTGTCAAGGCCTTAACCTAGATCGAGACAAGTTCTCTCCTGTATATTACTGGGTAGACAGATCAAGGACGCAACAAAAGTGGCGACGAAAATTTTTTTGTTGTTTTGATTGCCCAAAAAGAAAATATCTTTGTCTTTGGATAACCTTACAACCATTTTACAAGTTCGGCAAGCGTGGGTAGACGCAACTGAAGTAGAGATTTTGGATACACTGACGCAGAAGTTTCGTCTCATTCAACTTCAACCTCTCATTCAGATAAATATGAAAGCATCGCAGATTTCATTCGTGAATTCAACTTTAATCCGGAATCTGGTATCGTATTCGATTTCTGGTTTAATCTATTCGAAGACATATTCCGTGTCGAATGCTCAACTCTCGATGATAAAGCTAAATTTCTCTTACTTCATAGAAGACTTGGAACAGGTTGATATAATACATATGTGGATTTCATACTGCCACAAAATCCTCTTAATGGTACACCCCAAATGTTATTTAAAATATTTAGAGGACAGTCCTCATTATCCGACATTCGCTATCAATGTTTTCAAATATCAAAGTCTTAATCAGATCATTATCTCACTTATTCTAGAAAAGTACATCGAGAATGTGAGCGATTCAATATTAATGAAATTACAGCAAATCAATTTAACTGTTTGATTTTTATCTGCAGATTGAAGAATCTAACTGTTGACATCCGCATAGGAATTTTAGTGTGTAATGAACGAGAATCTAATATGACCTTACAAATTGTCACAACCGAATAGCAACATTTGTTGGATCTTAAACATGACCGAGACAAGTTTTGTCCTGCAAATTTCTGGTTATATATTCCGATCATTATTTTTGAAATTTCCAGAACCATTTATTGAATGAAAATCATCTGTCGTGCCAATAAGATGAAACGTAAAGTGTGGTTTGTTCTGAAGGCATCGAACATGTATAGAAAATCCAAATAATAACTTATCGTCCTTATGAGGCATTTGGTATGCTTGAAATATCATACTTTTTATAAGAATTTAGTTTTTCTCTTTAAAGTAAGAATTTATTATTCACTTTGTTTGATACATTATTCGGTAAAACGAAACAAAATAGATTATATTTCCTCATTATTACTAACCCATTTGGCGTGCAAAATAGGTTAACAATCTCCACAACCCCCCAATACTGATAATTAACATGTGCTCACTAGTGACTAGCTTCGTGAGGGAATTCTCGGAGTTCTAGTGAGAAGTCGTGACCAGTGGAGCTAATCCGTGTCGGGTAGAGACAGGTATCTACCTCAGTACAATGGAAGTTGGTCGCGCAGATTCGTGTATTGGTTGATGTTAGACACTAACACCATTGGATGCCGGCTCAGTGGTCTAATGGTTAAGTGCTCAGGCGCGAAGCCAGTAGGTCCTGGGTTCGAATCTCGCGGGGTGCGAGATCGTGGATGCGCACTGCTGAGGAGTCCCATTCTAGGACGAAACGGCCGTCCAGTGCTTCCAGGTTTCCAACGGTGGTCTAACATCAATTAATTCATGATCTCAACCAAAAACTTAACAATCTCCACTCTCACATCTCAGGAAATGTATGGAGTACACTAGGTAGCTTGTATATAGCTTATTGTTTTGAACTTTGTAGATGTTTCAGCCCTCCAATTTTTCAAACACAGCCATAAATGCAGTTAAACATAGTCACCATAGAAGCAGCGTCTACAGAAGTGGGCCTCAGAATTTACAAGGAAAAAGTAAGATCACGTAGTACAATGCAGTGAGCACCAACTAAATCACACTTGATAATGAAGCTCTAAAAATGGTGGATAACTTTATATACCTGGACAGTGTTCTTAAGCAACAAGGAAGTTCCAATGGAGAAATCATTGCACAGATCGGTAAAGCAAGGGCTAAATTCATTCATCTGGAAAATATCTGGAACTCAAAGTGAATGACGAAGGTCAAAGTTTTCAACACTAAAATTTAAACAGTTCTATTATATGGAGCTGAAACATGGAGAATTACCTTCGACAACACCAAAGATGCACAGTAATCTATAAACAGATGTCGATGCAAGAAAATACTATAACGACTGTAATTCCAGTACTTAATTTAAACCCAAAGCTAACGAACCAAAGTTTATTTCAGTAGATCAAACTACATTATTCTGTACCGAATATTAAGCATTCTTCAATTCCTCGTATTAAATTATATCCAAACACACACTGAGCTCAATTTAAACGGTTCTAATTTAAGAAAGGAAACAGAATTTATCAAAAGTACAGAATACCTCGAACGGTATAGCATATGCTAAACAGTCGAAGGTCTTCCATGCACAAAATAACGAGCTGAACAGAAAAAGGAATGGTTGTTAAATAATTGTTCAGTATCTGAGAATCAATAAGGGAATCCCCAACAAGATGGGATCAAATATCTATCTGCAAAGATTCGAGTGACTGTTCCCAAATGACAATCATAGGTCAACAATTATTGATCGAACCACTTCGTAACATCGAGTTTATTCAAACACGACCTCATAGTCAATGTTTCGGCAACACACAACAGTAAAATAATGTAATAGATATAAATCTTGAGCCGAAGTTGAATAGTAAATGTCCAGACAAAGAAGACTGAAGAAAATAAAATATGGTTACAAGAGACCTGAGTAGAGTCTAAAATACAGGTCAGGGAAAAAGAACAACGAAATAACAATACTGTCCAATAAAATACTATGGATAGATTTTCAGCATATTCTTTCTATTACAACTACAGATCCGTTGAACAGAAAATATATGTAATAACCTACTCTGGTAATAAATAATTCGGCTGAGGCGAATTTCAAGTAAAATCTTTAGAGTTGGATAAGACACTATATAAACCATTAGACTACATTACAAAACGATATTTAACTTTGAATCATCAAGGAAAATAAAAAGTGCGAATAAAGCAAGCATGACAGGAAACATTAAAGAATGACATCAAGACCATAAACACTGTTTAGTAATAAATAAATATAAGAGCTCGGAATAGTTCCTTGAAGACCTCTGGTTGACAGCTTATACTTTAAGAAGGGCAGTCAGCTTCAGTCAGTAAGTAAATTAGGAAGTGAGTAGCTAAATAAGAAATATGTTGACTGGAATTCATCATTCATTTGAGTATTCGATCAGCTCAATGTTAAATAAAAACTTTGTTTAATTTATTAAAGTAAATAATGTAGTTATGTATATACTACTGCTATTACTACTTTTAAGAAGAATAAATATAAAACAAGATTATTCACAATTAATTTATATTTGAGTTATTATTATTATTCTTTCAATGTTAATTGGTCAAATAAATATTCACCAAGTTGTTTTCCAACACGTTGAATTTGTGTTAAATAATCAGCAATTATTTTAATGAATTGTTCTTTAGTTTCTAAGCATTCAGATTCAATAAATTCACATAACCCTGGATCATTGTGTTCTTCAGCTACATTATGTAATTCCAGTAGGCACTGTAGGAAAAAAATTTTTTAAAGTAAATAACAAAAGATGAATTAAAGTATGGTGTAATTGTTTTTTAAAGGAATAATAATAATAATGAACAGTATGAAATAAAGACAATTCATTCCTACATTGTTTGGTTACAATCTGTTATGCTCCGATAAGCATAATAAATGGTAACTTTTGGGATCCATTTATAGACCGATACTATGCGTATATTTTCATCGTATAATTGTTAATTAACTAAACTATTCATATTCATGTCTCTCTTATCATAAGCTTTATTTTAACCTATGAACTGTTATTATGCGATTTTCCATTCTTGAATTATTTCCTGCCTATTAATCACTACCTCGCACATTCACAGTCACATTTGGCCACATCTTGTACAAATGTTGTTCCCTATTTTATGGTACGATGTGGTCTGTTTGATTGGTATATAAACCCCGTATGTTTGAAATAGATGATTCCATATCGCAGGGGCTCGGATTGGTGTTCTGGATTTAACTGACTGGGTTAGGCGGGAAGTAGGACCGATAAGTACTCTAGGCTGCTGATACGGGTTTACACGTCATTGATCCGATCGATAATTCACTGCTCTCTAATTGGCGGTATCGTTAAGTTATACATTAACAGGGCACACAGGTCACAAGTCATAACATAATCTTCCAACGATACATTATAAGTATAATATTTTGCAAGTATGATTTTATATAGAACAAATATAAAGTAATTCTATTGAATGTTGTCTAAAGTCGATCATTGTTTGTTTGAACTAATTCTGAGTTGTTGAATAAACAATTCAGGTAAAGATATTTACAGATTGTTAGGTTTGAAAATTGTATCATTTATGGAATAGGATATGTTAATGTTATGAAACATTCTTAACAGTGTTGTTGTGACCATGTTAGTTTGTAAGAATAAAGTGTTTTGGGCATCAGGTCAAAATTTTTTATTATCACCTCATTTCCATATAGACGATTTGGATTTCGTTTTAAATAAAAAGGATTGTATGATCACGAAACAAGTAATTTACAACTATCCAATACTGAAGTGAATCTATTACTGGGTTATTTTTTTGACTTAATTTTTTTATAAATAGATGATATACATCACACTTTAATATTATGACGGTATTATCAGAACACCTTTGCCATATTTTTAGGTTGAGTATATACATGAAGATATTTCCTCATAATTTATTCACGAATATATTTACAAATGATTTACAGGTGAACCTATTGCCACTGCATTGATCTTTCAACATCAGTAATATGGATAATTCCGTTCACTGGTGACAATTAATCATAATTACATTAAATAAGAAAGAAAGATTAGTTCAGCGAAGAGTTCTCTTTTCGGCGAATTCATTTTCAAAGCTGTACAATCGCAAATATATATACTTATTTTTACAGGGTGATAATAATACTGATAATAAACTTCTGTTATACATGGTGACAGTGAGGTTAAATAAACAACGGTATTAGAAAAAAAAATTTTAAAACAAGGAAAGTTTGATAGTTAATGGCTTAAGTATTCATCGGGTAAGGATGGCTCAGCATGATAAAATAACAAAGACGAAATGTAATCGGAATGATCGTGGAAATAAAAACAAACCGGTTGGGGGTAGAAGATTTGAAGGGAAGATGGAAGGTGAAGCAGGTGGCTGTAAAGGAACAAGAGTATGAAGAAAGAGAAAAAATTTTTTAATACATTAAGACCATGGTAAAAGAAGAGGTTGTACCAGTCTCTTTTGTACACATAATTCTGGTTTTTCAAAGTGTACGGCTATTGCCTCGGCAATGCAAAGAAGATGCAGTCTAATTGTCTTAGGAAGGCTTCTACTTACCTTTTAGATGACTTTGAACGCATAGTCTGTCCTGATTGAGTGACCTGTGTTCACAAGGTGTTCGATTATAGAACTTCTTATTGAGCCGTTGCCTATTCCGTTTAATAATTACATTAGTCAAGTTGCCAAGTTCAATTTATATAGCAAAGAAATTAGTGACCCAAATTATGACATAATCAACAATTTAAAAAATATTAAAATTGTTTAATAATAGGGCAGAATAAATCAAAAGAGTTCCTAGTCGTTATAAAAATATTGAAAAGATTATGTCTGGCTTATTTAATCATCAATCGACTAATCAGTGATAACAGAGAGATAGGACAACGTAACAAAGCCAAATGAATAGTAATAAAAGTCCCAGTCAGAAACTTAGAAACTTTTATTAGTTTAAAAGTTTGCTAACCAGATGTTAAATCACAATTTTCAGTGTTCCATATTGAATTTGAAATTCCTTTGCAAATAAATCAAATGAGATCAAAGAAAATCAGTTAGTTGTATCTGAATTCAAGTAGTTTCATGGCCAATTTCATAATCAGATATTAACTTTATTCATCAACATGAAATTTTATATGATAATTAATTTTGGAATGAGAAAAAAGAAAAATTTTTTAAAAATATCTTACTTTACAAAAAATAAACTTATTAATAAAAATGATTAGAGAGCGGCCTGCTGGAGTATCTGGGCTACCTGTTCCTGTCATCTAGATATTTCAACAAGTTATCTATTTTTGTTTGTTTTAATATATCATTATGTCTATTAATCACATGATGTATTTTGCTGCGTTTCTGAAAAGTGCACAACCTTTCATTGTCAAAGTTACAAAAAACTCAATAAGAGACAATGTGGTTGCTGGGAATATACAGCGCAAAGAATGTACATTATTCAGATGTTCATTTACTGAACTGCTAACATCTAACTGCTGATCACTCGATATTTATCGCCAGGACCGATCAAGAAGAAAGAAACGGAAACTTGTTGAAATACATTACTCTGAGAATTCTATATTGTACCAAAAATATAATATTGAATAAAGCCGATAATAATAATAATAATAATAATTAGTTGATTAGTTAATTCACCTGATAAATCGACTTTTCAGAATTTAGAGCAATTTCAAATGCTTCTTCAAGATCATTTAATTCAATTTTCTGAACTGCTCTTAAATCCATAAATTCTATTCGACCACCACGTTTGTTCTGATATTTGGCCAATTTCTCTGCATGTTCACGTTCTTCATGTGAAGCTTTTCGAAAGAATTCAGCTGCTTTCGGAAATGACACATCATCTCGATCGAAATAAGTGAAGAATGCCATATAATCATAAGCAGCCTGTAGTTCCACATTGATTTGTTTATTGATGGCATCTTCACATTCTTTGGCGAAATTCTGTCGGACACTTGATGTTTTCATCATCATTAAGAAAATAGAGATGTAAGTGATTAGATTATTGAATGAGTATAATATTGAATTATCAATATACAGTTCAACATTTATAGTTGAATCAATGACCTTGTTTCACTTCTCATCAAATAACAAAAGTTTTCATCATTTTTATAATCATTAATACTGTTAAACATATAAAGTGAATCCATGAAAATAATATTCTGATAGTGATGAAAAAAGGTCTTATAAATAAAATAGGTCAGTAAATAGTGTATTTTATAAACAATCATAAGTTAATCTTTCCGTTATTCTACCACAACTTTTATGAATACATATATATGAAATTTGTACTTGAATACACTGTAATAACTAATCAATATAAATAATATTTACCATGACTATATGAATTAAAAATTTTTTAATTGAGATCATTAACCGATTGATCTCTTAACACCACTGAAAACCTGGAAGCAGTGGACGGCCGTTTCGTCCTATTGTGAGACTCCGCAGCAGTGCGCATCTACGACCTCGCTCGCAAGATTCGAACCCAGGGCTTCCAGTCTCTCGCGAACGCTTAACCTACTGGACCACCAAGCTGGCATCCAATGGTGTAAGTGTTTCACATCAACCAATCCACGGAATTGCGCGACCATCTGCCACTGTACTGATGAATGTCACCTTATATCTTTCATTCACGTTAAATGTATTGTCCTGTCTCTAGCCTAAGTTTGTTCTCTATCGTGTATTGGTAATTGTTACAATGTAGTGAGTTGGTGTAGACGATGATGTGAATTCGACGTAAGATCTTATCGATTAGGCAATTACATCATGACAAATCTACGATCATAGGATTGGGTCTATTATTAGAGCAGTACTAATATCATAGTAGACCATGGTTATTCAAATGCCTCTGAAGTAAGAACACAGCGTAGGGGCACAACAGATATATTTTAAAAATTAAAAGATGCGTTTTGAGTACAAAAGGGGAAGCTTATCACGAAATGGATCTATTCATTGTTCTGCAGGATCAGCTTGCGTAGGGCTTGTTCTTCTTTGCTGCGCTGCCATAAAAAAATCTGACATTAGTAATGTCACATGTAATAATTCTTAATACCGTTACAATAGGTCCATTCATAATGTTCACTTCAGAGCAATACAAAATTAGATAACCAGTGACTCACTGAAATAAATAATGTTTCAAGTAAACTATATCAACCCATACTGGGTATTTGCCATCAAAACTTTCATTGCTAACCAAAACTAAATTAGCTATACATGTAAGACAAATAATTGCATTCTAATACGAAATTACGATAACTCTGAGTAAAATACAGGAATCATACATTCAATAGTTTGTAGTGACTCACGTTTATCACGAGAACACGACTGGTTTAATAAAAACAATTATTATTATAACCAACTGTACCAGTGTTTGTTTTAATGTGCTTTTGTTTGACTGTGCTAATGACAGCTATTTTGTGCTTCCATTCTTTCGCTTACGCTTCGATTGTAACTTCGCGCGAATTCGGTTACCTTCTGTAACCAAGGTTGTATCCTGGCACGATCCCGGTATCCTTTCGATGCCACGAGATCGCCAGCTAATAAACCTCGATTTGGTCCATTAACTGTCTTCTGATATTCGGCTTCTCGGGGATTTTATGGAGTCATTTGGAACGAGCTTCTTACGCCTTCTGATGTATTTGGCACGTGTTTCTTTGTAGCGGTGTTCATAGTTAATCCCAACTCGACGCCACGCTACAAGTTCATTTGCAAATCTCCATCATTTGTCCTTCACATTCCGTACGATTCCTCCAATTTACAATTTCTCTCTTATTGCTGTTCTATTTTTGTTAAGTCAACCTCCATAGCCTTCTGCTGACAAGGTTTTGACTTCCCATCTGTGGTACATAATGCATATTTTGACAGACAAACCAGGCCACCGATAATCGACACAGAACCACATCCAGTGAGATAAAGTCTTAACATTATTTCTAGATAGTCTGTTGATGCCAACATAATGATCTACTCAACAAAACGGCTTAGGTTTGTTGAAATTTAGTACCTTTGTCTTTATCTACTTCATTTATACGCAGACGAAGATTATCTTCTGAACCAAATAAATGGGAAAATATTTTGAATTTTAAATCTAATTTGCATGAGTACTTTTCACATTAAAACAACTTTTTATGAATATCTTTTAACAGATTGAACCGAGAGAATGAAAAAGTGATTCTGGACGGAACGAAAGGAGCTTTCGCCTAACTGGCTTCCATATACAGCAACAGTTGATCACCACAGCATACTGTCATAGTCTTCAGTCTTCAGTAATAAGGATAGGAGGTCTGTCGACCTATATTAATCCTTGCAGTTTGTAGTACGGTGGAGGTCCAATCTCGTTTTGAATATAGTAACAGACGGTGCTGATATTACGTGTTCCGGTAGAGAATTCCAGTAATTCAATATTCGGTGCGAGAAACGGAACTCCAGACGTAAACGGTTTGATCTCGGTTTTTGAACTTTCTTCGAATGTCCTCTCAAATGATCGGTTCTAGACGGAAGCAAAAGATAAGACATGTTAATACCAAGGTCATCGTTCAGTATACGATAAGCCAATATTAGATCACCCCGTACTCTACGGTAAGATAACGGAAATAAGTTAAGGTGTCTCAGTCTGTCTTCATAAGCAGGGCCAGCTAGACCTTGTACCATCTTAGTAGCTCGTCGTTGGACTCTTTCTAGCATATCTGCTTCATATTTGTTAGTTTTCGCGCATATATCGACTGTTGTTTGCTCATACAAAAAATAATGTGATCTTTTTTCCACCAAAATCGTGTTTGTTATGTTATACTAATCATTCAAACACAGTGACCTTGACTATACAGAGGCTAGTACAGGTGTGATTTGGGGATTTATGTTAGTTCTAATCTTGTCACTTTTTTGTTATTAAACTGTTTAACCGTTTTCAAAAATAACTCTCCAAGAGGTGTGAAATTTGGTCGGACATTTGATTAGGTCCTAGGACAGACCTAATTACCCTAAACACTGAAACTTTTGTCATCCAGCACAACAATTCAAGTCGGCTAAAATTCATCCATATTAATTGTGGTCAATGCAGTCTTTACTACCACTACTAGAAGTCGACATTTGACGTTCTACCATCGTACGCCAGTGGATTTCCTCAAACTTGTTAGAAATTCTGACCAGTGATTGAGGAAAACCTGAAATTTCTTCAAGCGTTTTGTGGTTTTCCCTCAAGTCACTTTGAAATTATGAAAAAACCCAACATCTGGAAAACGTTTGTGGCTTTTAATCGCACTTCCACGAAGCTCATGTTGGAGCTTCCTCCCGTACTCGAGAGATAAGGCCAGTCACTTTTTCATATGCAAATATATATATATATTTCAAGACGAATAGGCCAGTACTTCAGATTTAGCAGTTCAAAAGAATACAGATAACTGCCTTCAGTTAAAGCAGTCTTGTTTAACCTCTATAGTTTGGTATCGTCGGGATAAAGAAAGACCACTGAACTAAAGCTCATCTGATGTTATCGGTAAACATGAAGAAGAGGCAGGACCCCAGTGTATTTCCCTACGAGGCCGTGTTTTTGGGTGCTTTCTGTTTACCGTGTTCTCTATTCACGCCTTATCAAAATGGTGGAGTATAATGTACACTGGTACCTCCTAGTCTCAATGAGCTAACAGATCACTTCTAATAATAAGAAAATAGTCATATTTTTGTGACATCTCAATTAGTATAAGTTCTTATTTCTAACATTTCTCAATTTAACCCAAGCCACTTCTCCAAGGTAAATAAGTTACTTTAAAGTTTTATTTTAATGACAACGCTTTTATATCACTCTGTAGTGTATCATTAGAAGGGTCGCTTAAAAAGTTATGCGAAATATTTTGTAATATCTCAGGAAGCTGTCGGTTTCGATTGCTAAAGAAATGACACTATTTCTTAATTCCTTCTAAATGAAACCAAAAATGGATTTTAAAACCAATGTTAGTTTAAACTATATTCTGTATTATTGGCCTCGATCAGTCTTTTAACTAGTCTTTTCTGCATTCCTAAAACATTATCAACATTCATGCCCATACATACTTTAAGGCACCAACAGCTCGAGCAAAAATTTTCAGGAGTACAGAATCCACTCTTTTTGTTTAATAGTTCCGACTAATGTATAGACTGTTCAATAAGCTTAGCCTCACATAAGACATTGATTTTAATAGTTGATCTTTCATTCACCCAGGTTTCAAGTAATCCAGAAACTCAAACATACTTATCTTCTCACAATGGATTACTTATCTTTCTGCCGTGGTGTACTGATTGGGGGCTTGATGGGAGATTGTTATGGATTCGTGTACGAAGGTAGCCCAGCAGCAAAGTTCACCATCCCTTTGGAACTACTGCAAAGGTCAATCAATGGCTGTGTGTACAAAGTTTACGTTCCTCATCTTTGTCCTTAGTTGATACTAAACAGCTGATGTACAGTGATGATACACAAATGAGTCTTGCGATTCTCCGGTCATTAAAGGCTAAAAATAGTTTCGATGCAGAACATTTGGCTAAAGAGTAAGTAGAAATGGCTTTGTAATTCATATATTAGATTTATACGAAAATATTGAGGAATTGTCTTCCTTATATGATCTCCGATATTTGATTTTTAATTATAGTAACCTGCATTCATCTTATTTGGCTCCCACTGTACCTAAATAACTGGTTATATTATTCACAAGGCTTGACCAAATTATCGAAGTCATACCTAAGTGATCGGTTAATAAAAGATATAATCTCTCTCGATCAATTTATTAACCCAGATGCTACTGTACGATGTTACAATAAAGCTTCACCAACGATTCTGGTAGCAAAAAACAGAATAAAATGAACTAATTTTGCTTTGCTATTCACAAACCATATATATACTGTTTAGAGTAATATGACTTCCTACTAATCAGTGCATCACCAACAATATCTTTGTGACGCAAAAAGGAAATATCAATAGCGGAAGTTTTCTGATTTTTTTCCTC